TATCAAACTATACTACAAGGTTATAGTAACTTAAACATCATAAAAGCAGACATATGAATCAATGGACCAGAATAAAGTCCAAGGAAAACACCAAACCTATATGGTCAACTAATCTATGACAAAGGAGGCAAGATATATAGTACAATGGGGGTGAAGACAGTCTCTTCAATAAATGGTGGTAAGAAAACCAGACAGATACATTTAAAATATGAAACTAGACCATAAAACTCTTAGAAGAAAACATAGGCAATAAAATCTTTGACATTGCTCTTAGTAATATCTTTTTTAATATGTTTCCTCCAGCAAGGGACACAAAAGAAAAAATAAACAAATGGGACTATATCATACTAAAGAGCTTTTTCACAGTGAATGAAACCATCAACAAAACAAAAAGTCAACCTCCTGAATGGAAGAAGGTATGCACCAATGACACCTCAAAATATATAAGGAACTCATATAGCTTAATCCCCCCAAAAAACAAATCTCCAATTTAAAAAATGAGCAGATGACCCAAATAGACATTTCTCCCAAAAGGACATACAGATAGCCAAAAGATATATGAAAAGATGCTCAACATCACTAATCATCAGGGAAATACAAATTAAAACCTCAATGTGATATCACCTCACATTTGTCAGAACGACTATCATCAATAAATCAACAAACAACAAGTGTTGAGCAGAGCACTATGGGATCATAAACTGGAGCAGCCACTATGGAAAGCAATATGGAAATTCCTCAAAAAATAAATAAAAATAGAACTATCATATGACCAAGCAATTCCACTTCTGGATAATTATCTAAAGAAATCCAAAATACTGATTCAAAAAGATATATGCAGTCCTCTGTTCAATGCAGCATTATTTATAATAAGCAAGTTATGGAGATAACCTAAGTGTCCACTGATAGATGATTGGATAAAGAAGATATGGTATAGGAGAGGTGGAGGGATTGAGCAAAGAAGAAAAAAAAAAGAGAGAGAGAAAAAGAACTCATAGACACAGATAACAGTGTGGTGATTGCCAGGAGTGGCAGAAGGGGGTTGGTGGGTAGAGGAGGAAGAGGGTATAAGGAGGATAAATGGTGATGGAAAAAAGAAAAAGAAAAAAAAAAAGAAAGGAAGCTCAGTGGCGCATGGCTTAGTGGTTGAGCATTGACCTATGAACCAGGAGGTCATGGTTTGATTCCCAGTCAGGGCACATGCCCAGGTTGCTGGCTGGATCCCCAGTGTGGGTCAAGGCAGCCCATCAATGATTCTCTCTCATCATTGATGTTTCTCTCTCTCTCCCCCTCTCCCTTCACATAAAAATCTTTCAGAAACTTCAAGAAAAGAGGGGGAGGGTTAGCTCTCAAGAGCACACACATTTACTTCTTAAGGAAAACATATCCTCAACTGAGATGAGAAGTAGAACTGACAATTGTACAGGGCTCAAAGTTGAAGGATGTTTACAACCGATAACTTTACACTTCATCCAAGACCCAGCAGAAAAGGCATAAAACTTCAAATTATTTCCAATTCCATTATACTCCAGAGAATTCCCTTCCTTAGAGAAGTTTTTTAAAACCCCATCTCTCATCTACTCTCTCTAATAATTTAAATACTCATCTCTACAGCTCTCACTTCAGTTTTTAACCGTATTTTAAACATCTTTTAAAAATAGGTCTCTCCTTAATTAAAAAGCATTTCCTGAGCACCACTTTCTGCATATATGTACTTCCCTGTCTCTTTCATGTCCTCCACACCTAACTAGGCTGCTTCTCTACTTCTTTTTCAACACTGATTTCTCTTCTCAAGAGGTCACACAACTCCTCCTGATAATTTCCTGAGCAATTCTTTTAAAATTCCAAATTTATCCCTACCATATTTGACATCTTTAAATTTTTCTCATTCATTTACTATTTGCTGCATATCTTATACAGTACAGTGTGATATAAAGGAAATAAAGAACATTACTCCTGACCTTTGGAAAAGAAGACATACATAAAAGAATAATTGGTTCCAACACAGTTGGGGTGGGGGGAAAGGGCCTAATCAGAAAAGGTCTTATGGCTCCAGTAAATACAGAATTGGACCTAAAAATAAGTATAAGTGGAGAATTTAGTGAAAAAGCTACTTTAGATAGAAGGAATAATATGATTCAGAGCAGCAGGCCATCTGAGGTAAGAGCTGCATAAAGGCCCTCTGTCACTTCCTTCTTTGCTCCCCGCCCCCCAAAAGGCATATGTCTTGGTCTTCAATTTTTATTTCAGAGTCTGTTGCCCATGAATCACGAGCTCTCGGAGTGTTACTGATTACCCAAAGCCACCACACATTAGAGCAGCTGACAAAGCTTCATACGCCAAATCTTAAGTGGGTTACCACAAGGCAGGCTTTTAGAATCATCTTAAAGTCTTCAATAAAGAGTGTGAGGAGTCAGATATCTGTAGAGTCCTAAGCACACAAAGACAGCTACTACTTTTAGGTGCCAAAGATATATGCATAAGTACTCTTGCTCTGTCAGACTACTGAAGGGTCTTTCAACATCAGCTAAGAATTGCCTTTATTCACAGCTCTGGAACAAACAGTCTGAAGCACTGCCATGGCCATGTGGCTCAGCTGGTTGGAGCATCATTCCATACATCAAAATGTTGCAGGTTTGATTCCTGGTCAGGGCACATACCTAGGTTGCAGATTCATTCCCTAGGTTGGGGTACATACAAGTGGCAACTAATCTCTCTCTCTCTCTTCCTCTCTCTCTCTCTAAAAATCAATAAAAACATATCTGCAAGTGAGGATTAAAAAAAAGAAAGTCTGAAGTATTGAATTTCTATTTCAAACAGGGATGATTTTCACTGTTTTCTTAGAGAGTTTCTCTTCTCCTCTTGCCTCCCTTCCTCTGTGAAGTCTTTCCTAATTCCCCCTAGGTTCCCACTCCTATGCCGCCATCACCACCTTATGCATGCTTCTAGGGCACCACTTACCACACCACGTTGTAATTATTTGTTTACAAGTCTGACAAGCCACAACCTCTTTGATAGCAAAGAATGTTTTCCTTATCACTGATTCCACGCATAATAGGAACAATAAATATTTGTTGAATGCATTAATAATGCACAACATGGGAAGTTTTAAAGAATGATGATCATATCTTCTGGATCCCAGATAAAAATTACAGTAAGTATTAACACTGAAAACTAAATTTCCATCATACATTTATACTACTTAAACCATTCTCAGTCAGAAAAAGAAGCCAAAGATATGAGAAAATTGCTCTAATAGTGTTGGTCACTGCCAAGTTACCAATCTAGATTACGAGTGTCTGTAGCACTAAGAATGACCCAACACAAAAAAATGAATGAACAGAATCAACTCTAAGTAAGTTTCTAAGTTTCAGACTCATTCTCTCACATCTGGAGAATATGAACAACAATTAATAGGAATCCTTGGAAAAGTTACTATCTTCACTGCCAAGGAACCTTGTAGCCAATTTTGATTTAACTTTTTTGGGGAAAAAAAATATATATATACATATATATATTTTTAAAATTGACTTCAGAGAGGCAGGAAGAGGAAGAGAGAGATAGGAACATCAACGATGAGAGAGAATCATTGATCGGCTGCCTCCTGCATGTCCCCTCCCAGTGCTCTGACTGGGAATCAAACATGAACTCCTGGTTCATGTGACCTCCTGAGCCACACTGGCCAGGCCCAAGTTTAATTTAATATGACCTGAGAAATATACAGGAAAGCTATTCACCTTCTGACCAAATTCAAGTAAGGTTCTGCAGCAAGGGACAGATTTCTGAACTAAGTCCTCCCAGAACCCTGCCATGTTGTACCTTAGCACTCTCAATCATTTCTCATTGGCTTTACTAATCTCTGAAGAGATACAAGGCAGTAAAACGCTATGGTCTCAAATGCCTCTCCCTGTAGCAATCCTGTACCACACAAGGCTACTACTCTGTTTAAACACTGCTAATATACAAAGGTCTAATCTAATCCTGTGGGAACAAAGCCCCAGACTCCCTCAGAGACTCAATAAATGTAGTCAACTTTTGCATTTTCAAAGTTGTGGGCCTCAACGCAGTTGAAGAAAACGTAAAGACCAACACTGAGTGGATGCAAAGGGACTTGGCCTCTGGCACTTGTGCAGCAGCAAGGTGGCATGTGGCTCTTGGCATACAGTGAATGAAATAAGCAACCTGTTCAAGGGCAAGGAGAACTGTTTTGCTGTTATCATTCCTGGGAAGTCAAGAAGCTCCAGTTAAATTAATTTAGGTTTCTTGAAGAGACAAAATATGTTTGAGCCCAGGCAAGAGTATTTGCCAAGCCAATTCCTCAGACTAGATGTTCTAGCAAATTTCTTCCCTTTTATTTTTTTATTTTAATTGATCTTAGAGAAGAAGGGAGAGGGATAGAGAGATAGAAACATAGATGAAAGAGGAAATTGTCAATTAGCTGCCTCCTGCATGCCCCCTACTGGCGAGCAAGCTCTCAACCCTGGCATGTGCACCGACCAGAATCTTTGGCTCCTGGATTGACACTCAACTGCTGAGCTATACCAGCCGGGCAGTTCTAACATATTTCTTTATGCTACTACTGTCTTACATAATCCAACTATGACACTAACACTTACGGCTACATTAGTCACAGCTTAGCCCATCACAGGATATGTGATCCCACTACTCTCTTCCAAGAAGGTAAACTGAGTCACAGCATATCAACTGGCTTCCCCAAGCACACAGACTTACTAGTTTGTAGTGAACTGAATCCAGGTTGCCTTCCTCCCGATCCTTTTTTCCATGAATATATCTCAGCATGCCCACCCCTGCTGCTATTTCTCCTTTAACCTAAAACTAAACCATTGCTTTCTTGAAGGGCAGAGATGGGCACACTTGATCCTTTAGAGCCACGGCGCCTTCTAGTCCTCCTCTTTCCCAAGAAAGAGTAAAGAGGAAGAGGAACACGGAGCAAAGGAGGGGAGGGTTGGAAAAAGGTGGCTCCCCGGACCAGGACTCACCTTGGAGCTGAGGTCCTCTCGCCGGTTGCCTGCCTTGCTCCTGCGTAATTTGATGGATGGGGATCGCAGCAGGTTCTTGAGCCGGCTAGTGATGGTTGACCCTTCCACTGCCATCATGATGAGGAGTCCCTGGACAGTTCCTGGCACAGTCTTGGGATTTGCCTCAACAGCCGCACTGCCTGGCCACGCCACAGGGTCTTCCAGTACGCCCTCTCACTGGCCTGAGACAGCAGGAGCCCACCTTACCGCCTGCCTAGCAGCGTCTGCCGCTCTTACCTCGGCATTGCTCCTCACCCTCACATTCCCGCCTTCAAGCCCTGCGCGGGTCCGTACAGCGTCTGCAAGAATTAGGCCCGTGCCTGCCGGACGCGTCTGAACGGGAGGATGGACGGGCCCTGGAGGGCTAGTACCTGGTAGCCGGTCTGGTCCCCGTTAATTCCCAACCGCGCCCATGGCAATTGCAGAGTTCGCGGAAGCACGCCGCCGCCGAGGCCACCGGAGTCCCTCGGGGGCCGGGGAACCTGCGCCAGCGGCCGCAAGGCGCTCGGCACCGCGGGGCTCGCTCTGGCCCGGCAACCGCTCCGCCGCGGGAGCCTCCCACCCGACCCCGCCCGCCCCTCAGGAGCCTCACATTGGGGCCCTGGACCTTCCTCTTTCACCTCCCTCAGGCGCCCCTACTACTCGCCAGCGCCCCCGCTCGGACCCAGCCTCACCAGCCCTGGGGCCCGGGGCCCGCAACGCTCCCAGCGCCCTCAGCCATCGCGCTCGGCGATTTCGGCTCCGCGGCCGCAGCAGCGGCGGCAGCAGCTATGGCGGCACAAGCGGCTCAAAACGCGAAGTGCCGCCGAAGCCCAGCTAGGGGCTAGGCAGGCGGAGCGGAGGCGAGGGGCGTGGCCTGCCTGCAGCCGAGGGAGTTCCTGGAGGAACCAATAAGGTGTGGGGGGCGGGCCCAGGGGCGGGCCTAAGAAGCCGAGGACCTGGGGCTCGAGAACCACGGATTCCGCGGGACGTAGCCGCGGGGATCCCTCCTAGAAAAAGGCCGGCGGGCACAGCGCGGCTTCTGAATGGAAAGAACCAAGCCTTTTATGGTACTAGGAGGCCTGATTCCCTAGAAAAGTACACTCCCCAGAACCCCAACAGGACGGTAACTACGCCCCACGGTGCCAAGGTTGGCATTTGATAGGCCCGAGGGACCAGAATCGAAACTAACTCTTAGAATTACAAAACTGAGACGCGGCCAGAGGCTCTGCTTCCCATCCACCCCGCGCGCTGGGGCTCAAAGCGGTTGGAATAGTTGACCTACGTGGACGTGACTCTGGAGCAGCGGTCGCCAACCGGTGGCCCGTGAGGTCCGAAAATTTGGCGACTGCTGCTAACGTTTTCGATTGCTAAGAAGGGTTTATTAATTGGGCAACCCAATTGGCCATGTTGGAAGTAAGGGGAGGGAGATGATTGCCTTGGATGGAGCTTTAGGTAAGTGGGGGAAGGAAAAAGAAAAATATATGTTCCTATATGTTTCACGGTTTCTTTCACCGTCAGTGTCCCATCAGCTCCCACCCCGAGTTAACCAGGACTTTGTTGATCCAGTGCTTTACCTTAATCCTATCAAAATTCACTCGTAAAACCTTTCCCCTATTACTGTACTACTTTGGCGAGGTCACTGAAGCTTGTTGATAGTTGTAGCGGTATAAGCTTTCGCTCATGGGAGTTAGGGGCGTGCACAAAATAAAATAACTTTACAATATTATTCCACAGGGGTGTCTGCACTAAGAGTTTATTTTCTAGGGGCCTTTCTGCCTCATTGCTACTTCAAGAAATTCTTATGAAAAGGTAAGCCTAAGCCAGAGAAATAGTACGAAACATGTGCCTCAACCTATCCAGATCCTTGGAACACTTGGTAGACACGTTAGTAAGAGTGAAGAACCCGTCAAAACCGGTTTGGTTCAGTGGATAGAGCTTCGGCCTGCGGACTGAAAGGTCCCGATTTCGATTCCGGTCAAGGGCATGTACCTTGGTTGCAGGCACATCCCCGGTAAGGGGTGTGCAAGAGGCAGCTGGTCAATGTTTCTCATCTGTTTCTAACTCTCTCTCTCTCCCTTCCTCTCTGTGAAAAATCAATAAAATACAAAATAAAATAAAAAAAGAGTGAAGAACCCCTAAACACATTGCTCTGGGTGGGTCTTGTACATCCAACTGGCAAAACAAATATGCCCTTGTGTGTATTCTACATTATGAAAAGAAGGCTGTTAGGTATGTCCTTGTGTACCCTAACCATGTATTAAAAACAAGATCTATAAAGCTCACAGATCAAGAAGTGGCTTCCTAGAAGGCAGATTAGAGGCATGAGACTTCCCTTTCCCTTCAATTAAGCACTGCAGATGTAATGAAATTATAAAATGATACTCTCTCTTTGCTAAGCCTGTCATTTTAGTGGTAGGAGCCAATATAACACTAATAAATGGTGCCACCTGGTGTCCTTACTTGTGTGCTGCATTCCCAACAACAGCCATAAGAGTTGTCCCTATTTCTCTCCAGATCACTTTTGTGTCCACTAGTGGTTTCCTCACTCATGGCCAAGTGAAATGGGTTTAGAGTATCATTGGTCATTCCCTGTCCAGCGCTACACTGATTTATCCCCTTAGAGAAAATGTTTCCCAATTTACTCTCGTCTATAGGTGAAGTTACAAAGGCAAATTCAAGCTCCACTTTTCAATGTCTAAGATTATCTAGCTGAAAAGCAACTGAGTACAGTGTTAAGTTCAGATATTTCTTGTTTAGGGCCAAAACCACATTTATTTTTAATTCCTCACAATTTAGTCCAACCTTTATTGTTTAGGTAGATTCCAGGCAGCCTTTGAAGTGCCAATATGTGAATAGGCTAGGTAAGCTGTTCTCAAGCTTCATGAATTCCTCAGAAAATAATAGTCCCAGCCAAAACTGGTTTGGCTCAGTGGATAGAGCATTAGCCTGTGGACTGAAAGGTCCCAGGTTCAATTCCGGTCAAGGCGCGTACCTTAGTTGCACATCCCCAGTAGGGGGCTTGCAGGAGGCATCTGATCAATGTTTCTCTCTCATGGATGTTTCTCTCTCTCTCCCTTCCTCTCTGTAAAAAAAAATCAGTAAAATATATTTTTAAAAAAGAATAGTCCCAGATCCAGTGGAATAGAAGCTTATTCCCCTTTTCTCCAAGTTAAATACTTGCCACCACACCCTTCACAATGCAGTTGACCATCCACACATGAAATCACTTTTTATTCTGCTTGTGTATGTCCAAAATATGTATATGGTTGTCACTCTTAAAAAAGTGCCCAAGAAAAGATGTACAAACTTGTCTGTTTTGCACTATACTCATTAGACCAGATTTAAAAAATTCAACCTATATGTGCACTTAATAGATCCTTGAAAACTAACAGGCTATAGTAATTTGCTCACCAATTCAAATATTTATTTTTATTTTTTTAAATATACTTCATTGATTTTGTACAGAGAGGGAGAGAGATTGAAAGCCAGAAACATCAATGAGAGTCATCGATCAGCTGCCTCTTGCACACCCCCTACTGGGGATATGCCCGCAACCAAGGTACATGCCCTTGACCGGAATCGAACCCGAGTCCCTTCAGTCCCCAAGCTGAAGCTCTATTCATTGAGCCAAACCGGTCCCGGCTCAAATATTTATTTAGCAACTTTATATGCAAGGCACTGTAGGACAGCCGAGACCAATGCTTGCAGTTGGAAACAGGATCTCAAAACAATACTTCCAAGATTGCATTCCTACTTCTTTTTTTAAAAATACTTATTTTATTGATTTTCCACAGAGACGAAGATAGGGGGATAGAGAGTTAGAAACATTGATGAGAATCATCGATCAGCTGCCTCTTGCACCACCCACACTGGGGATGTGCCCAAAACCAAGGCACATGCCCCTGACCGGAATTGAACCCGGGACCCTTCAGTCCACAGGCCAACGCTCCATCCACTGAGCCAAACCGGTCTCGGCCCTACTAAGAGCAGTTTACTAGAGCAAATTTAGTAGAGCTTAGATTTGTCTCAGGATTCCCAAGTCAACCTAGTTTTTAACCATCTCACCATATGACACACATGCTTGCATCACTTTACTCAACACATACAATATTTTGTAGTTCACGTTTAACCGACAATTATACCTCAATTCAAGTTGCATACACACACACACACACACACACACACAGAGTAAGCTGAAAATTGACCATACCTTCATGACGCCCACCAACCAATCAGGAGTATGCAAATTAACCAAGCAAAGGTGGTGAGTGAATTTGCACATGCAGGCGTCAAGTGGTAAGGGTGGGGATGGGATACTTATCACCATAGCAACAATGCAAGCATTCTGCACCGCCCCAGCCACTCCAGGCCTCTGGGCAGCATCGGAAGACTTTGGAAAGGCAGTTACTGCTGGAGCAAAGGCGGTACCAACAGCCAGGAGGGAAGGCAGGCCCATTCTTGCACGAATCTTCATGCATCCGGCCACTAGTGTGTGTGTGTGTATGTATATGTTGTATAATTTCTAATTTCAAAAATGCATTTTTGACCGTTTTGTTTCCAAATGGCAGTGAGGCCATATACCTACATCTTTAATTTTCTCTGCATCCAGCCATTCGTGTTCATGTAAAATTTTATTAAACACTAGAGGCCTGGTGCATGAAATTCGAGCAAAGATAGGGTCCTAGGCCTGGCTGGCAATCAGAACCTATTGGGGTCTTCTGGCTGCTGGCAGAGGCCTTCCTTCATTCTGCACCACTCCCTGGTGGTCAGTGCACATCATAGCGAGTGACCCAACTCCTGATCTCCCAGTGGAACTCCAGAGGGGACATTTTGCATATTAGCCTTCTATATAGAGAGGCCCAATACACAAATTCATGCCATCAGTGGGGTCCCTTGGCCTGGCCTGTGGAATCAGGATGAAACTGACCGACATTCCAAGGGGTCCTGGATTACTAGAGGGTGCAGGCCAGGCCGAGGGGCCCTACCAATGCATGATTGGGGCGGGAAAGGGACACAGAAAGTTGGCTAGCCAGGGAGGGACTGCAGGAGAGCTCCAAGGTATGGCCGGCCCATCTTGCTCAGTCCTGATCGGCCAGACTCCAGCAGCAAGCCAACCTACTGGTCAGAGTGTCTGTCCCTGGTGGTCGGTGCACGTCATAGCGAGCAGTTGAGTGGCCTAGCATATCATTAACATGTTAACACTTTGATTGGTTCAATAGCCAATTGGAAGGCTGGACATTTAGCATATTAGGCTTTTATTATATAGGATAATATGTGAAGTATTGATGTTCTTACAAGCACTTTCTTCAAAATCAGCAATTTTGTACAAGAAATGTATCATTCTCTATAAATAAAGTACCTGAAAATGGGCCTATTCTGTACATTGTTGTTAGTTTGTTTTTAATCTGCTGGGAGTGAGGAATAGGGTTATCATATTCTAGATCCATCTTCAAAGTGCATTTATCTCTCAATTCACCTGACACCATTCCACTAGACTATCTCAACCAGTATAATTAGGGGGATAGGTGGGAATTATACCACTGAACTGCCCAAATAATACATGGATTCTCTGCCTCTGTATTCAAAACATTTTAATACTTATTGGAAGGCCTACTGTCGGGTATTTCATCCATAATTCTGGGGGGGAAGTCTTGAATTTACTATAAAATTACACAACGTGATTTGTGTGTTTGTATAACTGGACTTGATCTATGACCCAGAGTAGTTCAATCTAAAGGATTCTTTTAATAAAAACATTTTTACTAATTGTGATACTAATTTACATACATCTTAATTTAAGATCATCTACTGTGCCCCGGCCATTGTGGCACAGTTTGTTAGTATGTCATCCTACCATATTCCAAAAGACCATGAGTTCTGTCTTTTTCTCTCTTCCGCTCTCTAAAATCAATTTTTAAAAAAAATTTTTTTAAAGATCATTTATAGTCCTTACCTGCTAAGACTGAGTTTATGTCGTTATTCCCAAGGGTAACAGGCATATTACCACTGCACACATTGGTATTATGAGGCTAGTCTTTCTTCATTGTAGAACAATTTCTTGATATATAAACTTGCCATTAAGTTGTACAAAATTTTCAAGTCTCCATGTAAAACATGCTTCAAGAATTAGAATACCAAAAATTCCCCAGAATGGCATGTCAAAATTTTTGAAAACAGTAAAGAATTCCTTATAATAAACCTCTTTCAGTGGCACCTCGAGGCATTAGGATTCCCTACTCCAACTCAGCACAAACTTTCCAACACCAAGACCTGCTTTATTATAACCGATTTATTTCTTTCAAGTTCACACATTCTGCCTTCCACTCGCCAAACTTCTTCTGTTCTTGGGTTTCTAAAAAAATAGTCATTTTTCAAAAGCAGAAAAGGAAAGATATATATTTAATATATAAAAGAAAAGGCTAAATCTGACATAATTATATTCTTAAAAACATTCCATTTATTTACAGATGTATAAAAAGGCGAATTATTGGGCTACTGAGATCATGCTTCTTATAGAGTTAGGGTGAGAGCTCACTATTCTCCAAATTCCTCAACTTCTCTTGCTCAACATCTTTCATAATCACACATGTAATTTTCATAGATCAGCTTCTTCTGGGGTAAGGTTAAAGGGTTTGGGTTTTTTTAAGTTTCTGTCAAACTTCAGGATTGTTCTGAAGACTGAGCCCACCTCAAAATAGCCCTGATATCTTCTTAATTCTAAGAGATCTTGAAAACACCATGATCTTGGGGGTTTGTAATGACATCTGCAGCCTTTTTTGAATACCAGAAATTACCTCTTATTTCCATCTTATTACAACTCTCATAAATAGTCAAATATCTTTCCATCAAGAACTGACTACTACGTTTGTCTATAAAAAAGGGAACAGTGTTCAGAAGCAGAATGGTCCTTCTTTTCCTGAGGATTCTTCACTCACTTGCCTGTTCCTTGGCTGACTCTCAAAAGGCATAACAAGAGCTTTGGGAAGTCAGGAGGAAATGTGAGGACAAGATGAGCAAGGAAATAATGGGAAACTGCTATACTTAAAGTACTAGCATCTCCAAGGACAATTATTAGCAGGGAAGACAGGTGCTGGACTCCTTGGCTAAGGCATGAATGAAATCTGCTGGGTAGAGGGGAGTGGGAAGGATAATGAGAAGCACTCATTACCTACTTCAAGCTTCTTCAGTAACCTTAGAGGAGGGAAAGTTGAATGCTAGGTGTAGAAAGGCAAGTAGCACAAAACAAAGAATTTGCTCCCACTGCAATTTGCAGAGGAAAAATTTCCACCCTTTTTCATCTGTTGATTACAAGAGATACTAGAAAGGGAACCAACCATGAAAGTAGTAATTTACTGGCTAGAATTATTCCAAAGTTGGTCTCACAACCTAGGTCTAAAGATACACTGAGTGGGATTTGGGATAAAGAAGGCAAGGGATGTAGAAGATATAGCATCACCCAGGCACAGCCCAGGCACTGGAAGCTCTTGTGTTAGTGTTTAACAACACAAGCAAATCCTGTCAATGAAGACAGAACATGGGTTACATTCCAAAATATAATTATTTAAGAAAGGCAAAATGTAGCAGCTAAATCCCAGTCTATACATTTTCAGAATAGTGATTCTTGCCCCCGGGAGTTCCCAAGAGACCCCTCAAGTGCACCATGATTATTTACAAACTAGATAGGAAACATTTCTATACTCAATACAAATCTCATCTTCTAGGTTGAAAACTTCAGCCTTTGAGAATCTATCAAAACAACTATACAAAAATATAAATATCTTCATCTTTACAGGCTGTCAGTCCTTCAGACCCTGACAGCTAATGCGTGAAAAAGCTCTACAGATCATTGAATCCATGGTAGCAGATAATAAAAAATATATCTTGTGATTCAAATACTGCCTTATTTCCCTGGTAGAGTGCCTTCTGTGACTTTTCTTTACTTAACATCCTGTGCAGGTAATGAATGAAACCTTCAAGCACCAGGGGGCTGGTTTGCTTTGGAAAATAACCAGCCCCACAACTTTTTATTTTGGCCACCGTCTCTGGTCTCGGGAGGGAATGCTTTTCATTTTAGTTGTCTCCTGAGTGACATGATTTATGAAATTGGGAGGGCTCCCTCTATGCCCACCTCCAAAATATATATTCCAGGTGAAAATCCCTGGTCCTGTGAAATGGTCTTTTCAGTGCCAAAGACAGTAAGGGAGAAGTAGATATTGTTTTGTGTGTTTTTTTTAACATCTCAGAATAATTATCTTAGTAATAACAGTTAAAAAGCATTCCTAATTTGCCAAAAGACTTGGATTGAATTCTTACTGAAAATGTGAGGGAATGGAAGTTATTTGGGATATGAAAGAGGGTATTTTGCTGAATGACACAAAGTACATCACTTTGGTATTCCATGTTATCCCATTCCTCTCCACCTACTTTTAAAAGACCAACTGAAAACTCTCTTTTCTGGATCCTTCTGCACAAGTGCATCACCTCCCTTGGATTTCACACCTAAACCATATAGCTATCAAACTACAGGTCAGTCCACAGCAAGTCTGAAGTCTCAAGCAGCTTTTTATCTCGTAGGGAACTAGAAAACCACTATGGATCTAGAATCTTATGAATTCCTTAGGTGAGAGGAACACCTCATGTTCAGTAATGGATCAATCACATCTTAAGAGAGGATGAGGAGACCCAGCACCACAAATGAGGTAACATATTTTAACATGATTAGAATTTCATAATAGTAATTTCTTACACCAAGGTCAGCAACCTATTCCTTTCTCCACCATTATCCACTGCATCAAAGTCAAGGATTACAGTTCCATGACACAAATAAACAGATGCCAACAGAGAAAGGAGGTTTCCTCTCACAGCCTGGCTTCTGCCTAAGGACATATAAGTTCATTTCCCTGCAGAACTTGATGAGGCCCCCGAGTTGCCCAATTTGACCGCAACAGGTGCCAATGTAGGCATCACCTTGCTCTCCCGGCTTTCCTGGTCATTCCCTATTAAGTTTATTTTATGTCCAACTGACCCAACTTTGGCTACAGGTGCCAAACTAGGCATCACCTTGAGACTCTGACAATCTGCATCACTGGAAGGATTAGCTACTTTTAACCCCAGAGGTGCCAACTTTGGCATAGGCCTCCACAAAGTGTCTGTAACGTTGTTCTCTAGGCCAGCTTTCATGCGTAGAATGGGGGGTGAGGAAATATTTTCAGACTCTGCAGGGATACCAGAAGTACTCTTCCCTCCATCACTGACTTTTCTTTGGGGACGAGGGGAATCCTTTATCTCAGAGTCAATAACAATCTTAAGGACATCTGGCTCAGAGGCTGGTTCTACAATTTGTTTTTCATTCTCTGAAAAGTCATCATCTTCCAAGTGCAAGAGAAGGGGACTGGCAGAGTCACTCTCTCCTTGTACATCAGGCAACTCTTTCACACCAGTTCCCAAGTGGCCAATCTGGAAACTTGCTCTGTTCCCAGGAGGATGCTTACTGATGAAAGCCTGTCTAGCATCCCCTGGGAATTCTGTATCCATAGAGCTGGGCAGTTCCGCCAGGCTAACAGAGTCATCATTTAGTTGCTGATTAAGAAAGGCAATCTCGTTGAGCAGAGAAGTCAGTGTCTCATCAGTGTCATCCTCATCTTCCATGTTAGTTAGCAGTTCACTGGGATCCAGTGCTGCTTCCTCAATAGCTGATGCTGCCTTTCTTAGTTCCATCTCTATGCTTGAGTCTTTCAGATCTTTCATTTTTAATTTATGAAATGAAGACTCCTTTGGCTTCAGTCTCTCCCGTCTTGATCCACTCTCTTTCCATTTATACTGAATCCCTCTCGTATTACCAGAAATCCTTTTGGGTAAGAAATCTTGTGCTTCTTGCACACTGGCAATATCAACCGTTTGTGGAAAACCAGAATCTTTATTTGCTAGAAAACCCTGTGTTGGACCCACTGCCAGTCTGCCACCTCTATGATTGCCTCTGGAAGAGATTCTACCTGAATCTTCAAAGGAGTTATCTTCATTCCTGACAGTCTTTTTCAGGTGGTCAGGTGACTTGCCATCAGGAACTTCATGAGAATATTTGCTGCCACTCGTATCTACCAAACCACCCTCTGTGGCCAGTGATGTCACATTAACAATTCTTGGCATCATAAATAAGTCATCATTTTCTAGGAGAAAAGAAATTCATTTAGATCTATAGTAGCAAGCATCTCTCTCATTCATACCCAATGACCATTTGGGGAATTGTAGTGAAAATTCCAGTCTATTTTTATCAAAAAGCTAAAAAGAAATAACTAGTTCTTCAAATTATAGACCCAGCCTAACAATATGTAAAATCCAATAAAAACAACTGGTATTTGAGATCCTAAAACCTAACTATACCCCTAGTCTTAACACTAGCCCTAACACCCTAATTTAAACCCTAACCTTAAAACAAAGAACGAAAAAGCAAAAACAAAAAAAACAACAAAAACACACACACTAGTATTTGATAACCCATCCTTAATAAAAGTTCCATTTAATTATTTTATAGAAATGCTCCCCAAGTTAATTCTTTATCTTGCCATACACATGTATCTTCATCTGTTCACCCAATTAACTATTCTGAGGGAAAAATGAAGTCCTCTAGGCAGAACTGAATAACACCTCCAGGCTGGGTTTAGCAGTATTATTAGTAGTAAGGATATCCTTGTACCCTAATAGAAATTTAGGTGCCTAAAACCTAAATTATCAAAGTGGGACTTCCTTTTCAACTCTACTTCTTATCCCTAAAAGCAAGTGATGTTCAAACTGTATCAGGCTAGTAGTGTAGGAGTATACCCTGACTATAAAACAAAATTAACAAATACTTCTCAGTACCCAAAACTAAAACAATGCCTCATTTTCCTCACATCTTTTCAATTCTTTTCCTATTTAGAAATAACTAGAGAACACAAAATAATTCCCAATCCCAGGTAAAGAAGACCAATCAATACCACATATGAAGCCAAATGTGTTCCAAAAGAAAGTCATTTCTTTCCAAGGCACATTTGAGTAAAATAGTTCTTCATGATTACAGACACATTCAAAGGCTTTCTTTTTCACAGTGGGCTATCAGGGATAACTCTTTTTCACTATCCATAAAGAGTAACACCTATGATATACCTGATTGAGCCACAGCACTTCTGGCAAGTTGAGTCTTCAGATCTGCTTCTAATAGAGCAGGAGAAACAGTTACCACTGGTCCTGAAAATAGGGGACCTTTTAAGGTGAGCAATTGCCCTTGTGGAGTCATCACGATGTTGGCAGAGGTTTGTGGAGTGTTAGAGGGCGAGGTATTTTCTGTAAAAAAGATCAGAGATTAATTAAGGATTAAAAATCTTCAACTAATCCAAGTTTAGCCTATGAGTCTAGGAGATATCCCTAAAACTACACACTGACTTAAAAGGAATGAAATAAACTTCAAATTTAGTTAGGGAACCTCAACTTGGAATTTACTTTCTGAACCACTTTTCACTGAATAATGGTGGTTCTCCTGTTTTGTTTTTGTTAATCTTCACCAAGGATATTTTTTTTCATTAAGTTTTAGAAAGAGTATGGGGAGGCAGGGTAAGGGGGGGAGGGGAGAGATAGAAACATTGACATGACAGAGACAAATGGATTGATTTGCCTCCTGCATGTGCCTCCATCAGGGTTGGGGGTTGATCCTACAATCCAGGTACATGCCCAGGACCGGGAATCGAATCTGCAACCCTTCTGTGCACGGGCCAACACTAACCACTGAGCAACAATGGTGAGGACCACGAGTTCTTCTAATGGCCAGACTTTATTATTATTGAGGAATAGAGTTATGGAATCACTTTTTTGATGGAAAGCTTCTGATAATCTTGATGGTGAATGTGAATGAAAACATATACAGTTCTACTCCTAGGCTTGCTTGCTTCCTTATATACCTCTAACAAATTATTTCAAATTTCTAGACCTCAGTTTTTCTATCTGTGAAATGAGCTGACTGGACTAAATGATCATTAAAATCTTTTCTTAGCAATAACATGATTTGATTCTTCAATTTTAAAACTAACTTATACTTCAGTATTTATCATTACTATCTTAGTTGATTTTAAAAACCAAATTTCCTGGCCCTAGCCAGTTTGGCTCAATAGATGGAGCGTCGGCCTGCAGTCTGAAAATCCCAGTCAGGGCACATGCCAGGATTGCAGGCCCAATCCCAGTAGGGGTTGTGCAGGAGGCAGCCAGTCGATGATTCTTTCTCACCACTGATGTTTCTCTATCTCTGTCCCTCTCTATTTCACTCTGAAATCAATAAAAATATATTTAAAAACAACAACAAAAAATTTCCCGGTTAATACATTTCACTCCAAGAGTAAAAAATGATATACCATTCTCTAAGGATATACAAAAATAATGTGAAACTAGTATTATCTCACTTCCAAAAATTAAGATAGGAGAGAGCAATAAGTTAGAATAAACTTATGATCTGGAGAGTATCATACTAAATGGAGTCAGTCAGTCAGAGAAAGACAAGCATCACATGATCTCACTCATATATGGAATCTAATTAACCAAATAAACTAATGAACAGCACGGATCCAGAGACATGGAATATAGTGTGGAATCTCAGAGAAGGCAGGGTAGGGTAGATGGGTGGGAGGTAATCAGCCAAAGATCTTATATGCATATATGCATGACCCATGGTAGCAGACAGTGAGTGGGGTGGAGAGGGCCTGGGGCAGGGGTGGGCTAGAGGGGGTCAATGGGAGAAAACAGGGGATATGTGTAATACTTTCAGCTATAAACATTAAAAAAAAAAAAAAAATTTACTTTGTTCCTTAAAGCAATTCATTGATAGGCAATCTGATTCAACAAAATTAAATTTTAAAAATCTTCCAATATATTTGTCTCAGCTAGGCCTAAACTTCCTCATGACTGATAAGCAGAAATGCAAGGAAAGAGTTCATGTATAAAGACTGAAAAGATGGCAGCCTATGAAATACTCACTGAAACATTAGAGGGAAAATATATGACTGTATACTCTATCAGAAGTAGGTCTTAAATGTTACCATGACTGTAAGTTCTTAGGATTTGGTTGAATGTTAAAGCTAGAAACTGAAATTTAATGTAGTTAATGTTCTACTTTTTATATAACCACTAGAGACCCAGTGCAGGAATTCATGCATTGGTGAGGTCTGGCTGGCCTGTCCCGATCAATCAGCTGATCAGGGGTGGTTGGTCAGCCAGAGGGAGGGGCTGCAGGTGGTTGGCCAGCTGGCCCCACCCCCTGGTCAAACTTCTGGTAGAGAAAATTTGCATATTAGCATTTTATTATATAGAATATTTAATTCATTCACTTACAACTAAATTATGGCCACAAGATGTTCAGTCCACTAAACTAAACTAAACTAAACTAAACTAAACTAAACTGATGTTCATTAAGAAAAGCAAAGAATGGCCCTCCTACCTGTGGCCTGGTCTCTTTTTCTGGAAAGAATCAAAGGTTTCCCCTTCCTGTTATTTATAAACATCTGTCCAAGATCTACAGATGATGCAGAAGATCCTTCCTGCTGTTTGCTAGTTCTGGGAGACACATCAAACTCATCTGATCCCATCTTCTTTTTTCTTTTTTGTGCCTCTAGTGCTTGCTGTTTTGCATAAATATATTCTAGCTTCTTCAGGACCACTTCTTCTGTCTTACCTATAGGTTGACAAGGAATAAATTGTCACTCTCTGTATGACCCCACTTAATAATGAGAAATAGAATCAACTGAAATTGAGTTGATTTAACTATATTCCCCAAAACTATGGAAGACAAGAATGAATATAAACCAAGAGAATCTGCCCATTTAGTCAAAAGATAACTCTGCAGTTAACTATGGGAACCAAACCTTAAACTAGACTATCTGAAAGATCTATTGAGAATTTCTCTTTATTAAAATTATTTATCATACTCTTAACCAAAGATCATTTACATATCTAACCTGAAAGAGATGATACTTTCCGTATCAAAATATTTCGTTTTCGAGTCAGGAGATTTTTTTGTCCTATCAACTTGTCAGCTTGATCTGTTAGTCCTTGAATTTCGCTGAATGCCTAAAAATAAAAACAATAATGTGTCAATCAATTTGCTCTTCTTACACTTCTTTAATAAAAAAAAAAAATTTAATCTAATATTTTAAACAATTTTATAATGCCATTTAAAATAACCCATACATTATTTTTTGTTAAACTGCAGGCTTTCTGGCTTATAATTCCAAAAAGCATCACTGAGTGGGTTACAGGTGTTTCCACACTACAAGGCGATACAAAACATTTTACTCTGCTTAGATTTTAACAATCAACTTTAAAGTCATTTCCCAGTCAAATTAAAATCTGATTGAAATAACTTTGTTTAGAGAACTATGAATACTTGCTTTGTACTCCTCTCCAACTCCTACTTTAAAAGCAACTAAAGTGAAATTTGCCTTAGACAGTCAACATGCAAACTTAAAACATCTACTAGCTTGAATATTTCAGATTTCCTTTTAAAAGGACTATCAATTGTTAAGAAGTATGTTAAAATATCACTTATGTTGTGCTTTCCACTGTGATAAACTGTTCTAAGTGCTATAGAGAACACCAATGTAAAGAGTGCTAAACAGAGCTTATCAGGGTTTTTGCTTTATTTGAAGGAAGGATGGCTCTGCCAATTAAAAATCTGGCTTTTAATGAAAAACTACTCTGACACAACAAAAAAACTCTTTCTCCTAAAGGATGTATTGGGCCTTCACTAGTCCATATTCAAATGTTAAATACAACTCTATTTCAATCTCCTTTGAGTGATAATATCTTTTATGTTTAGAAGATTCTTACTCAAGCTCTTAATTGTCTATACAGAACACTTACCCTAGTAAGAATGAGACTTTTGGAAACCTTGGAAGAGTGAAGTAATCCCAATGTGGTCTTCAATTTCTCAAAGAGATCCCTCATTTCACCACGCCGGCGCCGCTCATTGGCAGTGTGTGTCCGGCGATAATAAGCAAAAGCTTCTGCTTCTTTTTGTAATTTTTCATTCCAGTGTTCAGGCTTCAGTTTTACATTAAATTGTGAAGCCTATACAAACAAAAAATGACGATCTAAATGTCTTTCACATGTACCTTCACACTTCCTCCATCCCAAATGACATTGTTCTGTATCAGACAACCACATCTTCTGCCTGGACTATCATAGCCTCTCACATACTACTACTCTATCCTTCCTCAAAATCTAACTGTGTGAATTCCTTTTTTATTTTTTATTTAACAGTGCAAATTCTTTTTTAAAATCTTTATTGTTCAGATGTTTATCTTTATTACAGAGGTTCCTCTTATTTCGCCCCACAGCCTCCCTCTACCTGGTTCCTACTCCACTCCAGGCCTTCCCCCACCCCCTCAACTGACCTCATCCATAGGTGTAAGCTCTTCGTCCAATTTCTCCCTGCACCCCCATAATCTCTTCCACCAAGAAATGTCAGTCTGCTCCCTTTCCATGCCCCTGATTCTACCGTGTTTTCCTGAAAATAAGACATCCTCCGAAAATAAGACCTAGCACATGGAAAGATAAGACATCCCCTAAAAATAAGACCTAGCGCAACTTTGGGAGAAAAAATTAATATAAGACACTGTCTTATTTCCAGGGAAGCAGGGTATTATATTCACAAGTCTGTTCTGTTCATCAGGTTTTTTATTCATTTTTAGGTTAACTTGTTGATAGATAAGTATTTGTGGTCACTTTGATGTTCATAATTTTTTATCTTTGCCTTTTTCTTCTTCCTCTTCTTGAATACTTTTCAGCATTTCATATAATACTGGTTTGGCGGTGATGAACTCCTTTAGCTTTTTCTTTTCTGTGAAACTCTTTAGCTGACCTTCAATTCTGAATGTCAGCTTGGCTGGGTAGAGTAATCTTGCTTGTAGGTTCTTGCTATTCATCACTTTGAATATTTCTGCCACTCCTGTCTGACCTGCATGGTTTCTGTTGAGAAATCAGCTGACAATCACATGGGTACTCCTTTGTAGGTAATTAACTATTTTTCTCTTGCTGCTTTTAATATTCTCTGTCTTTTGCTCTTGGCACTTTAATTATGACATGTCTTGGTGAGGTCCTCTTTGGATTCCTTTTGTTTGAGGTTCTGTGTGCTTCCTGGGCTTGTAAGTATATTTCTTTCACCAGGTGGGGGAAGTTTTCTGTCATTATTTCTTCAAATAGGTTTTCAGCATCTTGCTCTCTCTCTTCTTCTGGCACCCCCATAATTCAGATGTTGGTATGCTTGAAGTTGACCAAGGCTTCTTACATTATCTTCAACTATTTGGATTCTTTTTTCTTTTTGTTTTTCTGGTTGAGTGTTTTTTGCTTCTTTGTATACTAAATCTTTCACTTGATTCTTGCGATCCTCTAGTCTGCTGTTGCATCTCTGTATGATATTTTTTATTTTAGTCACTGTATGTTAAATTTCTAGTTGGTCATTTTCATATCCTCAAGGGTCTCGCTAAATTTAACGGCCTTTTCTAGGAAATTCTTGAAAAACCTTATAACCATGGTTTTGAATTCTATATCCAGTCGTTTGTTCTCCTCCTTTTCTTTTATTTGTGATCCGTTTCTTTGCCTCTGCATTTTCGCTGCTTCCCTGAGTTGGTAGGGTAGCTTTGTGTGCTAGGTTTCCTATATGGTCCAGTGGGTCAATCTCCCTATTTACCTGAGGTGGACACTCTTGGTGCACCCCTTTGTGAACTGTGTGTAGAGTTTTGTTGTAGTTAAGTCTTGATTGTTGTTATCACTGGGAGGAATTGACCTTCAGGCCAATTGGCTGTGAGATCAGGTGTGTCTACTCCAGGAGACCTTCTGTATTGAAGACAGCCTTATAGGACCAGACTTGCAACACTGCAAAAGCCTCTGGGCTCAGCTTGGATGGGGCGGAGTCTCAGGGCTGAGTAGACAGTCTTGGCTTCCCGTTAGCCCTGCCCTTGTGTGTGTGCCTCCAGACCTCTGCTTTCCATGGTTCCTTTGAGTTTCTGCCTGACGGTTCAGATTCCCCCTGTAAGAGCATAGTGCCCCCAGGGGCTTGCCCAGAACTGGGTTTCAGTGCAGTTGGAATTGGGGTTCAGTGCAGTCAGGAGCTTCCAACTCCCTTCCTCTAGGGAAAGCCTGTGGCAACGTCCGCAGTCAGTCTTCTCTGTGCACATTCTTGCTCACACCTCTAGAACCCTGATTACCGCACTCCCCCAAGTCTCCATGTGCCTTTCTCTCTACCTAACAGTCCAGTCTCCCTTCCCCTCCCCCGCAAAATGAGCCTGGGACCACAGGGTTTCGGCCAGAACTGGTGTTCAGTACGATCGGGGGCTTCCTTTCCCCTCCCACCAGAGAAAGCCAGCCAGGCACTCAGCCGCCCTTTCTCTCTGCATGCGTCTCCATACTGCAGCCCTTTGCAGCTCCTCTGATTCTCCATGAGCTTTTCTTGCCTTCTATTTGTATAATTTCCACTAAGCCAGCTTTCCTGTGGTTCTGGATGATGTCTGTTCTGTCTTTTAGTTGTTCTGAAATTGTTGAACGAGGCAGCAGTTTAGGTGCTTACCTATGCCGCCATCTTGTTTTTCCCCCTCATCCATTTCTTCATTTGTGACTTGTTTCTGCATTTTGGCTGATTCCCAATATTTGTTTCTATATACTGGGTAGCTGCTATGTCTCCTTGAGTTGATAAGAGTGGCCTTGTGTGGTAGATGTCCTATAGGGCCCAGTGGCTCAGCCTCCCCAGTAACCTGAGGTGGATGCTCTTGGTGCACCTCTTTGTGGGCTGTGTGCACAGTCTTATCGTAGTTAACCCTTGACTGCTATTGGTATCACTGGGAGGAATTGACCTCTAGGCCAATTGGCTGGGAGGACCAGCTGTATCTATACTGGAAGATCTGTTGCGCAGGAGTCACCTTTATGGGGCAGGACTTGCTTCAGTAGGGCTTTGACACTCACTGGGACTGCACTCCGAGTGTGTCTCTTACGGATGTTAAGAGTTGTAATCTCTGACCACTGGGTACTCTGGCTATTGGATCTCCAAGGAGGTGCAAGGCCAGCCACTGTCTGAGGCCACCCAGCAGGAACTATAGAGAGACATCTGCAGATTCCTCCTCTTTGCATGGAGTTTGAAGAGCCCAGGTGAAGCCCAACTGTGAAACAAGACAGGCTGCTGCTGCCGCCGGGCCTTGGGCCTTCTTTTAGAAGCTCTGGGACTCTCTGACCCTGCTGCAGTTTTAGGCAGAGATAGGACAGGCCATTCATATGCAAAAGCCAATGAGCACAGCTTGGTTGGGGGGGGTAATAAATTGGGTGCGGTGGGGTCTCTGATAATCACCAGGGTGGAGCAAACAGTAATGTCTGCCAGTCAGCCCTGCACCAGAGAGGTCCCTGAGTTTCTGCATCCCATGCCCCTGTGCAGGAACAACAATCGCTGCAAGCACCTGCGAGAAAGCCGTCCTGGCGTTCCTGTCCCAATGCCAGACAGTCCAGCTTCTCCCCATATGTGTCCAAGTCCCCCAGAGTCTCACTTGGAGCTGGAGTTCAGAGCAAGTGGGAGCTGTATCTCCGTGTTTAAAAGAGCAGCACATCCAAGTGCCAGCACTTTCCGTGCCTCCGCTCCTCTTACTAGTCTCAATGTGCTTTCTTCACCCCCTTAGTTGTGGAACTTGCACTCGGCCAGCTTTCCCACGATTCTGGGTGGTAGTTATTCTGCCTTTTAGTTGTAATTTTCATGAGGTTGTGAGGGGCAGCAAGTATAGGTGTTTACCTATGCCGCCATCTTGGTTCTCCATCAACAGTGCAAATTTTTTTTTTTAAATCAATCTTTATTGTTCATATTATTACAAAGGTTCCTCATTTCTTCCCCCCTCCACCAGGTTCCCACCCCACCCTCTGCCCTTTCCCTACCCCCCATTGTCCTCATCCATAGGTGCACAGTTTATGTTCAGTCTCTTCCCGAATCCACCATTCCCCTTTTCCCCTGAGAATTGTCAGTCCACTCCCCTCCCATATCTCTGATTCTATTATAATCAACAGTTAATATTGTTCATCAGGTTTTTTTAATTTCCCTGGTTGTTGTTTTTTTTTAATTAATAAAATTTTATTTTTAAGAATAAATTTTAAAATCTAATAATTTTAAACCTTGTTTTTTTCTGTCCTGGGAACTGAGAAGCAAACTTGTTTACATGTAATCTTGCCCTTAGGCTATCAAAAGGCGTAGCCATTCAAATGTAAATGAACACATTGTTTAAAGATAGCTGCTGGCTGGAATTGGATTACCTGTTCTGGGTGGGAAGGGCTTGTCCTTTCCTTTCTCCATTAAAATTAAGGTGTTAGCTTTAAAACCTCTTTTTGGCAAGAGAACTTAAACTTTCAAAACTTTAAATTGTTCAGATAATAAATAAATTACTTAGCATTTTCTCAAATCAATAATACCTCCACATGCCCAAGGATACACTTCAAACAAAAGACACTTCTAAATAGATCAACCAACCTCATCCAGACCCCACACAAGGCACTCACAGATCAACACCCCAGCACTACAACAAATCTAAGCCTTCATCACTTGATTCAGCAGACCCTCAAGTTCCCCCAAAAGTTTCCAGCCATGTCAACAGTGCAAATTCTAACATTTAAAATTCAAATTTCGTATTTTTTCAGAAAAATTTTTCTTGACCCTCAGAATGCCTTAGGCTTTCTTATTTCATTTCAGTTTTTAAAATTATGTACTATAGCCCGGGCAGTGTGACTTAGTAACTAGGCATTGACCTATGAACTACAAGGTCACAGTTCAGTTCCCCATCAGGGTACATGCTCTGATTGCAGACTCAGTCCCCAATAAGGGGCAAGCAGAGACAACTGATTAGTGATTCTCATCATTAATGTTTCTATCTCTCTCGTTCTTCTCTCTCTGAAATCAATAAAAATATACTTAAAAATTTTTAATTACGTATTATAGATGCGATAATAGATGCACATAGGGTTTTTAATATAAATATTTAAAAGGTTTATAATGAAAAGCAACTGTGCCCTACACCTGCACATGAACCCATAGAAAAAAACCACTTTATCCTTTTTAAAAAAAAATTTTTATTTTGATTTCAGAGAGAAAGAAATAGGTAGAGAGAGATAGAAACATCAATGATGAGCTGGGACCAGTTTGGCTCAATGCATAGAGCATCGGCCTGCGGACTGAAAGGTCCCAGATTCGATTCCAGTCAAGGGCATGTACCTTGGCTGCAGGAACATCCCTATGGGGGGGGGGGGGGTGCAAGAGGCAGCTGGTCCGTGTTTCTCTCTCATTGACGTTTCTAACTCTCTGTCCCTCTCAATTCCTCTCTGTGCAAAATCAATAAAATATATTTAAAAAAAAAAAAAAACATCAATGATGAGAGAGAATCATTGATTGGCTGCCTCCTGCAAGCCCCATCCTGGGATCAAACCTGCAACTCAGACATGTGTCCTGACTGGATATTGAACTAGGACCTGCTTCATAGGTCCACACTCAACCACTGAGCCATGCCAGCCAGGCCATTTGATGCTTACAGATGCTTTTTCTGCCTCTTAAATCTATACCTAAATAACAAATGGTAATATAAGCATATGCTTGTTAATTTTCATGCTACCTATCAACTTCCTGTTATGTAAAAGAGAATTTAGCCCACACCACCCTCTTACTTCATTTCATCATCCTATCTTCCTAATACAAACATATCATTAATTTTAGTTCTTTAATGATCCCTTTGCAACTTGAATATAATACTAATCTCAATCTCCTACTTCATCAACAATAGACAATATCTCTATAAAATGAGATTCTCAGCACTTGTTATCCTTCCTCTTATTTCTTCTTTCCTCTTCCATCTCCCAATTTGTCATCTGTACTTAAACATTTTCAACACTAAAATTAAGTCTTCCAGACTTTATTCGTGATTAAAAAAGTTTTTAAAAAATCACCAATAGTGACTACCCTCTTATGACAATGTGAATACTTTTCATACAAAGTAATTAGTACATTTCCGGTCTTCTCCAGTTTCTTGATTTTGTTTTTCCCTCTCTGAGGTGTCTAGTTGTCTTCTTTTTTATCAGAACTAAAATCACTGTCTTCCTAAAGTTAAACTTGTTGAGCATTAGTATAGTACAGGAGAATAAAAGATACAACAAGACAGAATAAAAACTAATACCAAGTTTAAATATAGCAAAAGGTTATAAATAATTTGCAGTAATAATTAGGGCGCAAAAACAATGGATTGTATAAGTAAGTTATGAAAATTATTGTATCTGAAAAATGTTTTAATAGAAATGAAAAAAATATAGTAATATGTACAAAAATGATTACAAGCATGTAAATATGTATCATGCGATCCCAAAACCAGATCAAACTCAAACTAACCATACCAAGGGGTTTTTAAGAAAGGATCTAGCCGGACCGGTTTGGCTCAAATACTACTCCTTCAACTCAACCCAAGATTCATCACTGTTTCTATCTCTTAAATTAAGAAGACAGAATGGCAAGTGGAAAATGATTTAAACAACCAAACTCTCTTACATTCTTAATGTCAATAAGGATTAAAAAAAAAAAAAAAAACTTGTTTAGTTATTCCATGATATACAGTAAGTAAAATCAAAAAACATTTTAATTTCATGGCTTCTTAAAATGTTAGCCATCATTGCCGAGACCGGTTTGGCTCAGCAGATAGAGCGTCAGCCTGCGGACTCAAAGGGAGTCCCGGGTTCGATTCCGGTCAAGGGCATGTACTTGGTTGTGGGCACATCCCCAGTGGGAGGTGTGCAGGAAGCAGCTGATCGATGTCTCTCTCTCATCGATGTTTCTGGCTCTCTATCCCTCTCTTTTCCTCTCTGTAAAAAATCAATAAGATATATATATTTTTTTTAAATGCTAGCCATCGTTAAAGAGAATTAATTTTTAGGTCACTGAAAAATCACACCGAAGGATGCCAGCTTGTTTTATGGCATATCATTATTTTAACAGGGTTAAAATGGACAAGAAATTTATGAAACCTGATATGCACATCAATTTTCATAAAATGCACACCCATTTTAATGCTTCTAAATTATTCTACCATCTGGGTAGAAGAAAGAATTAAGAGGAAAAATAGCATTAAAAATGTAATTTCATTAAGGGTTAAAAAAAAAAGCTGATTAACTAACTAGTAAGACTACCCTGAATATATCTAATAGAGCTAATGTTGTTTTAACCCTAAGGGCAAATGGCATCATTTTATTAAATAAGTAATTATTGTTAAATATATTATAAATACCTTTCGACTTCTTTCAGCAGCTTTTTCGTCTGCAGACATATGGGTACGGCACCTAGATAAAGACAGTATTTTTTAATGTCTTACTAAAATTCAGTAATCTAAAACCTATTTTCACAGCTATATTAAACAAAACCATCTCAAATTGTCTAAATTGTAACTAGCCTCTTTTCTCCAAGGTCTGACATGTGGCAATATAACTAATTTCCTTCTCTAAAAATGGTGTCCAAATAGTCCCTAAAACTAATTACTTTTTTCAATCATGACATATTTCAAACATACAAACCAGTATAAACAAACATATAATGAAAATCCAAGTATCTACCACCCAGCTTGAGAAATAAAACCTCTAAAAACTAAGAGATCTTTTGTGCAGCCTATTCAATCCCATTTCCTTGTTCCTTCTCATAGGTAAACACTCCCAAACTGAGTTTACCATACACATATTTGCAGTTCTATTATACTAGGTATGTGGGATTTATCCCTAAATAGAAAATATTACATAGCACTTTAAACATTATATTGTAAGTATAGGGTATCTTTCTTTAACTGATCCGTTCCACTCACCTTACATCTGAGACATGTTGATACATATACAGTAGTTCTAGTTCAATCATTTTAAGTGTGAATTTTCAAAAATTGATTTTAGAATGTTAGTTGTTGTTTAGGTTGTTTACAAATTTTCACAATGCTGCAGTGGACAGTCCCAAACATGACCCCTGTACATGCTTTTGTAGGGCATATATCTAGAAGTGGAATAGATGAATAGAAGGTGCGCACTTCTTCAACTTTATTAACGTCACACTTCTCGCCAAATGGTTTTAACAATTTACACTCCCCACCTGTAGTATGTTCCATTGCTCCACAATTAGGTAACAGTACTATTAGAAATTTCAATTTTGCCATTCTTATGGGTGTGAATTGATAAAGTCATTGTGGTTTTATTTATATTTCCCTAATTACAAATTTTCATTGTTTACTGGCTATCCAGGTTTCCTCATGTGAATTCCATGAGAGAACCATTACTTCTTTTTCTAACTGAACTAGAGGTCCAGTGCATCGATTCATGCACATTGAAAGGGAATTAATTAGAAGATGGACTACAGGGCAGGACTAGGCAAGAAGAGCCATGCACGTCCTGGAGCCAACCTCCCATGGTCCCTCCCTGGCCTGCCACACCTGGGTTTGAAGGGCATCTGCAGAGTGAGCAGGGTCCCTCTGGAAGCTGAGGTCTCTCAACCTAGCCTGTGGGGATCAGGCTGAAATTGGCAGTCCGACATCCCCCAAAGCATCCCGGAATGTGAGAGGGCACTCTGTAAAGTTGCTGTCACTCGGCAGCTCCAGTGTTGAAAGTATACCCCCTGGTGGTCAATGAGCATCACACCTAACAGGAGACTGGTCAGCCAATTGCTTAGCCTTTTATATATATAATTTTTTTCTTACTGACTTGTAACAGCTTATATCCTTGATAGTAATTCTCTGTCAAACACTATTATAAATATTTCTTTTACAGTCTAAGTTTGCCTTCTCACTGTTTTCATGGTGTTCTAATAGACAAAATATTTTAAATTCGTAATAATCTGCTGTTTTACAACAGTTTTGTGCTCTGTGTGTATTGGATATTCTTGGTCCTTTATTTATTAATTGATTTGAGAGAAAGATTTGTTGTTCCACTTATTTATGCACTCATTAGTTGATTCCTGTGTATACCCTGACAGGTCTTGGCCCTTTATTTCAGTTCATTAACATGGTATACGTTCATTTAGTGAATTCTTCTTCAATTTCTTTCAATAACATCTTACAAAACTTTTGTTAACAGTCCCAGGTTTATTTTTGTTACTATTGGTAGTTTTTAGAAAACATTTTTTATTTGTTGCTATTATTCAGGAACTTAATTTTTACTATGCTGAACTTAAATATCAAGCCAATACTGCTGAACTTAATTAAGTCTAATTAAGTTTTTAAGGGATTTAAACTCTTTCATGCTTAACCAGCAGGCAACTGAAGTAGCCTCCAAATAGCTCCGAAGTAAAGAAAACTACTAGGACTACCTCCCCCTCCCTTAGACTTTCTCAACATTACTTTATCTTTGTGACAGCAAGGATGGATCTGGAGAGCATTATGCTAAGTAAAATAAACCAGTCAGAGAAAGACAAGCACCACGTGATTTCACTCATATGTGAAATCAAGTGGACAAAATGAATTAACAAGCAGAATATAAACAGACACAGAGAGAGCAGGCTGACAGATGTTTGGGGAAGGGGCGGGGGAGGGAGACTGGGTGGAACAGAGAGATTTAGCAATAAAGGAGAAAAAAACTCTTGTACAACAGTGTGGTGACTGTCGGGAGAAGAGGGTAGAGGGCAATAAAGAAGGGTATAAGGGGAATAAATGGTGATGGAAGGAGACTTGACTTGGGTATGGTATACAATATAATGTACAATGTTGTGGAATTGTGCACCTGAAACCTGTATAACCAGAGTCACCACAATAATTTTTGTTAACCAGAGTCACCACAATAATTTTTTTTTAATTATTTTCTCAACTCATTATTACTTTATATGATGGTTTTTTGTACAGAGAGGAAGGGAGGGAGTTAGAAACATCGATGAGAGTCATCGGTCAGCTGCCTCTTGCACACCCCTTACTGGGGATGTGCCCGCAAACAATGTAAATGCCCTTGACCGGAATCGAATCCGGGACCCTTCAGTCCCCAAGCCAATGCTCTATCCATTGAGCCAAACCGGTTTCGGCCATGTCTTAATTTTTAAAGATAATGGAACTGCCTGGCCGGAGTGACTCAGTGCATGAGCATCAACCTATGAACCATGAGGTCACGGTTCGATTCCTGGTCAGGACATATGCCCGGGTTGCTGGCTCGATCTCCAGTGGAGAGGTATGCAGGAGGCAGCTAATTGATACTTCTCTCTCACCAGTTTTTCTATCTCTATCCCCCTCCCTTCCCCTCTCTAAAATCAATTTAAAAAAAAAAGGGGGGGGATATTTGTCCAAGCTTAAGTATCTACAAACTAGCAAAACTAGTATATGAATACCAGAGAGTGTAGTTTCAAAAACATGTTATTCACATTTACACTGTCCCCCAGCAATAACCCAGGCAAGTTAATTACCTCTGAATTCCAGCTCCTCTCTCATTTACTAATCAGAAAAAAAGCTAGAGCAATAAAAAAGTTACTTACTCCAGAGCTCCTGAAGTCAGTTTTGTTTATAGTAAAAAAAAAAAAAAAAAAAAAAAAAAAAAAAAAAAAAACCCAAAAAGAAGTTAAACTTACGTCTGTTTAAAAGTCTGTGTGTGGGCAGCTGTGGTCTTCATGTGGTCAACATTAATTTCCTCAGAGAGCTCTTCCACAGTCTCAATGTCCACCTGCTCCTCCTCATCCTCAATGAATTCTACACAGTTATCCTGAAACACAAGATTCCAACAGTAAATAAAGTATTGGGAAATTAGCACACCTAAACTACTATATTGAATGCTCCCCTTGTAAAAACCAACTAGTGCCACGCACTGATCTTATACCTAGAGTACTGATAATCCTAAATTTGTTCATCATAAGAGGGAATTAACTCATAAAAATATGAATGAAGCTAAAAACTAAGAATTACATAACCGGTTTGGCTCAGTGGATAGAGCGTTGGTCTGCGGACTGAAAGGTCCCAGGTTCGATTCCGGTCAAGGGCATGTACATTGGTTGTGGGCACATCCCCAGTAGGGGGTGTGCAGGAGGCAGCTGGTCGATGTTTCTCCTCTCATCGATGTTTCTAGCTTTCTATCCTTCTCCCTTCCTCCTATACATATATATATTTTTTAAAAATATTTATATATTTTTCTTAAATCACAGGTATTAAAAAGACATCATTAGACATCATCAGACACTCACAAAAACATACTCAAGGCAGGTATGGAAATAAAAATATAACTCAAAAATCTGTATTAATGCCAGTGTTATTTCTAATGGATAAAGTTCGGTAATAAATATATTAAAACTGCATAAATCTTAAGATTATATAGCAGTAAAGTAAAATTTGGCAAAGGGGAAAGTAGACAAAAGAAAAATTCAGATTCTATTTTAAAGGTGCTTCATGACAGACTCATGAATACAGACTAATGGTTGCCAAAAGTGGAGTAAGGTGAGACTGGGTGGAAAAGCTGAAGGAATTAGGAAGTACATATTGATAGCTACAAAATAGTCACAGGGATATAAAGTACAGTATAGGGAATAGAGTCAATAATATTCTAGTGACTATATATTGTGCCAGGTGGGTACTGGAAATATTGGGGGAACACTTTGTATAAAGTATATAATTGTCTAACCTCTATGCTATAAACTTAAAATTAAAACAAAATAATACTGAAGGTAAACTGTAATTGAAAAAAAATGTTTAAAGAGTGAGTCACAGCTAATCACACACTGAAACCCACAAAAAACATACTTAAGGCAGGTATGGGGGAAAAAACACAAACCAGTCTTTTAAATATCTCAACCCCACAGAAGGAGAGCTTCTGAAGAATTTCAGATATCAAATTCAGCTCAGGCTTGCTCTACTTGCTAACTATTCTTAAAAAATGAGCCAATCAGTAAGCACTTATTGAGCACCTGTCACAGAAGCTCCCTGTGCATTTTATGTAACAGAATATACAGATTGGGATATGCGGATATCTTTAAGTCCACCTATAAAAGTAGTGTTTACTATGCCAGAAACTAAAGAGGGAAAATGTTATCTATAATCACGCTGTTCCAAAAATGCACAACTCAAAAGTAAAGCATCCCAATCACCTTAATAATCCTATATTTAAGCTTGTTGTAAAAATTACTTACCCCCAAATTATAGGCTTCATAAGGCTGATAAAAAAAACACTAAATGCAAGCCATCATTTATGTCCTCCAATTTAAGCACAATTTAAACAATGTATCTTAAATTTAAACAATGTAAACAACATGTATTAAAATTGACTATAAAAAATTTAAGAAGCTGAATCATCAGAGTCCCAAAAGAATCTAAAGAGTCTGGATAATATGTAGATAGATGCTTTATAATATTTGAACTGAAGAATGTCTTTCTACTGCATGGCTTAAACTTCAGGCTTTGTAAATAATGTCCAATAAACTTCACAATGGAAGTTTTAAGTTAAGGAAGCTACTCACAACTTCCCTTACACTATTTCAATATAATGTTAATCACAAACATAAAGATATCATAACTGTATACATGTACATAAATACAACGTAGAATTTAGGTTTTAGAGATTTAATATAATGTTCTTCATTTTTTAAAAAGTCAGTGTATCTTGTATGTCAGATTCCCTATTAGAAAATTCAAGCAATGCCACCCTGTTAAAAAACACTCTAAAGGCTCTATGAAGTCAATTTTATGATAACAATAGTTTTCACTGGTTTTAAAGTTGGACTAGTTTTGGTCTGATGCTTACCCAGGCTGACTTACAATGGGAGACTCTGAAAACAGTGTAGGACTATCTACACAATCTAACTCCCAACTCAATAAATTCAGATTTTTTAGGTACCTACAGATGTCTATTCTCAAAGGACTAGAGGAAAAATATAAGGCATATGCTATAGAATTATTCAATTGTAGAGTTAGATCCTCGTTTTATAAATGAGACAACTGAGATTACAGAAATGACCAACACAAAACATTTAAACACTTCAGAGTCTTAAAATGCTATTTTTATGTTTTATCTGCATAAGGTGGTTAGCTATTAACATAGAGGGACTAGGAAACAAAGGCTGAGTGAACAACAAGGAAGTGAAATTCTAAAATAACCCACTGCATTGCAATCAGTGCAGAGGCCCATATTATCTGAAAAGAGGGACTCCTTTTAGATTTCAGGGCACCCCACAGGCTTCTAGGTATAACCTCCTTATGATTTACAGCAGACCGCACGTCAAGGGTCAGCAAACCACAGTCCCACCATCTGTTTTGGTAAGTAAAGGTTTACTGGAACACAGCTTCTACACTTACTCACTTACTAGTATTTGTGGCTGCTTTTCTGCTACAACAGCAATTGAGTAGTTGCAACAAGCCTGTAATTTGGCCCTTAGCAAAAGTTTACCCAACTCCTGCCCTGTATTTCACCTGACTCAGTTACTTAGTTCAGTAAATACAACCCTAAATAGAAAGCCTACAAAAATGGCTTCAGAAGAATAAATTATAAAGGTCATATTACAAAGGAAGACCACCAAAGTTCAGAATATAAATTCTAAAAACTATTTAATTTTAGGATAAAGAAAAACTTAAGGCACAATCGTATTAAAATATTAATTGGTATTTTCCATTGTTCTCCAAAAAAGAACATCTCTCTTAAGTACAGGTAGATAAGTTCTCCCCCAGTTCTAAGGTCACCCATTACCCAGTTTCTTATGTATCTACCAGATAAGCTACAATCACTTTATATAGAAAATGTAAAAAAAACAAAACAAAAAACAAAAACTAATTGGGATCAAATGGGAGTAGTTGTTTCAGGATTTCCTTTTTTAAACCTAACTTGACAGAGCATCTCAAGCATCTGTCTCCCAAAGGCTTAAGCCAGTCTTTCAGTAATATCAGACAAATCTCAAAGAACAATATAAGCTCAATAAATGTTACCTGACTGACACAGCCTAAAACTATAAAGTCATTTAATCATGATCTAAATCTAGGCATCCAATTGCATGTATCAAGGTCTTAGTGATCTTCTGAAAAGCTACTGTCTCTAATAAATCATTTAAATCCTTGAGGTTCAGTCACAACAAAAATGGGCTCACCACCTTTTCTACATCATCAACCTCCTCACTCTGGTAGTCAGAAACAACATCCACAATCTCATCAATAGAATCATCGGTTTTCTCATTCTCATCTTCCTCGTCATCTTCTTCCAAATTCCAGACACTGAAGTCAGCACTGTTTCTCCCACCCTTCTTCTCTTGTTTTGGTTGTAACTGTTCTCTTGACAGCCGTACATGATCTTGAAAATGTCCTTCCCCTCGGCTCCCTTTTGTAGCTTTTCTAGGAATAATAGCAAAGGTTGCAGGACTAGAAATCCTACTCCAAGAATCACATTCAGTTTTGAAAATTCTGGTATTCTCAGTAGTTTCACTTTTTCCAAGTAAATCAGAGACACATTGTTCTTGTTGAAACACATCTAAATTTTCCTGATAAGTCTTTGTTTCTTTAATTAACTGCTCATCTGCCTCTTTCTTGCATTCTTGTGAAGTTCTAATACATTTCTGGGTCAATGGGCCCTTCAAGTGTTTTCTCCATCTCTCCCTAAGACTGTCCATTAGAAAGTCTCCATTCCCCTTCTCCTGGGCCTCTGACTGTGGATTAGATTGATGCTTCTCCACAACTATGCTCCCTGATAATTCAAGTTTACAGTCTTCCTTCGAGATAACTGGAAATTTATTTGATTTCTCCTCTGAACTGTCTGATCCTGTCTGCTGTTCCACTTTCACATTACCCAGTTTTTTAAACTGCACATTACTTATACTTTGGACTATATTACTGGCTCTTTCAGAAATGGTCTTAACTTCTAGAGTCCGTTTTTCTTTAGAACTATTATGATTCCTAACCCCACTTTCAGCAGTATCTTTATAGTCTTCACTTGTGAGTGACATAGTTTTATAGGAGTGCCTAGAAGGTTTATCAGTTGCAGGACCTTCTTCTATAAGGGATTCTTCATCTAAATGATTACCCCCATCCTCCAAGGAATCATTCAGAGTTTCTTCTAAGACAGTAGCTCTTGAGTTTTGCTTTACATCATTAGCCTCAGAGTCTACAGCCTCTCCGTCCGACTGTAGGTCCTTCAATTTCTTAGTTTCCTGCTCTCTTTTTAAAACACATGTTCCATCTTTCTGGTCTGCATTCTGGGATTCTTTCTTCATCTGAAGAGAAGCAACATGTTGAAGAATGGAGCTTGGAACAGGCTTTTGTCCTGGGAGCTGCAACAAGGCAAAACTACCAGACTGGAGAGGAACGAGGCTGGCTGTACCAACAGGCTGCCCTCCTGAGCTACAAGTTATTTTGGTTTCAGAGCCTGTCTTATTTGCTGAGCTTTGTGGCTCAGGGGGGGAAATCCTCAGGGTCAATGTACCAGACTGAGATACAAAACTAGGTCCAGAAGAAAGCAATGATGATGCCTGAGTGATGACATTCACTGCTGGAGAAGACCCAACAGCTTGGATTACAGGACTCATAACAGAAAAACCAGAAGATGAAGCAGTAGTTGGTGGAGTCTCTGAAGGCTTAGAAGGAGTAGGTAACCGGATTCCCACCACAGACCCTGGTAAGAAAAAGAAAACATTAAATCACCACTGACCATATCAAGACTTCCGAAGTATACTTTTCTTTTTGAACAGATGATTCTGAGAGACTAAGAAGACCAATATGGTGTATTAACATCCCATATGGCCAAATCATTCAACAAAAGAGAAACTTATCAAAAGATCTCGTTTTATACCTGGGTTACGAAACATGACAGGCTGTAAGTTGGGCTGGGTATTAGAGCTTCGAAGCTGATGCAAAGGGAGGAGCTGAACAATCTGCCCATTAGGGTGTCTGAATAGGTTCATTCCACTTGGGCTCCTAATAGGCTGCAAGACCATCCGGTGTCCTGGAAGTTGTGTGTTTGAGACAGGTCTAAGATTAGGAGAACCCTGTTGCACTGGAATCAACAACAATCGAGGTCCAGCACGTTTCACTGCGTTAGGAGAAACCTGTGGAGTAGCCACTGAAATTTGAGGGGCATTTTCTGAAAAACAGGAAATAGAAACATAGTATCAGAATTTCCCTTTAACACATGTAGGAGGAAAAAATTTTAAGATCTGACCATACTACAAATAACTTCTAATTTGAATTATAACATTGTTGAAATCCTGTACCTCTATGATACACTATTTAGTAGTCCTTTAGCTGAGAAAAATTTATCTTAAAAGTATTAACCAGACACTGCAGAGCCTTACATTTAAACTGGTTAAAAAAAAAAAAAAAAAAAGCATCAATTGTCAAGAGGTTCCCTTAAAAAGACAATGTTGCCTAATGAAAAAAACACGGGCAGCCTTCTAAATCTGGATTGTCACTAAAGCTACAGAAGGGACCCTCTCCACGTGGGAGTCTGTACTTGTTCTTCAATAAACTTCCACCTTTGTAAAAACAACAAAAGTTAAAGAGATCATTTTTGATAACAGCCTGAATTTTAAAGTTGAAGAAGAGAATTTAATACCTACTAGTCTTATGACTTAGTTTCACAGGTCATGGTCAAATAAGATAAAGTCAAGAACTAAAAAAACTTCAAACTTCTTGACTTTTAAAATTCACTGACAAATCAGCTGGGTAAAGATTTGTGGAAATTATTTTTCACAAAGAAAAAAATACATTCCCTCCGCCCTCCCGCCCCCCCCCCCAAAAAATGGAATGAAAGTAAGAGACATCGAAGAAGCAGGGAAATAAAGTCTGGTTAGGAAGAGGCAAAAGATAGTTTTAAAACAAACAGAAAAACAAAAATTTAATGCAGAAGATGTGAATTAAGAGAATTAAAACCATTAATAGTATCTAAAGATGCACTTTAATGTTTGGAAGAGATACTTAGAAATACTAAAGACATAGGAAACATAATACGAGTAATCTACAGATAGATTTCTAGTCAAGGGGATAAAGAGGTAGGAATAATAATAATAAGCATAACTAAAACTGGTCTAATATTACCATTCAAATTAGGGAAATTACTTAACATCATATATAGCAAAGATGTAATATGCAAATTGACCATCACTCCAACACAAAAGATGGCCATCCCCATGTGGACAAGATGGCCCACCACAAGATGGCCAGCAGGGGAGAGCAGTTGGGGGCAACCAAGCCAGCAGGGGAGAGTAGTTAGGGGCAATTAGGCCAGCAGGGGAGCATCTTGCTGGCATCAATCAGGCTGGCAGGGGAGAGGTTAGGGGGTAATCAATCTGGCAGGCAGAAGCAGTTAGGGGCAATCAGGCAAGCAGGCAGGTGAGCGGTTGGGAGCCAGCAGTCCTGGATTATGAGAGGGATGTCCCAGATTGGAGAGGGTGCAGGCTGGGCTGAGAGAAACACCGCCCCATGCACAAATTTTGTGCACTGGGCCTCTAGTTATTAATAAATCTTTTCATTACTTTGTCAATAAATAGAAAAATCAACTAACCAAAACCATACAGATTTAACATATAATATCCCATCAGATAGGCATTCTGCTCGTGAAACATCAAATTTCTAAAAGAAAGTCATATTCATAACATTTATATGACAAATTACATTTAGAAGATCCAGGACTTCTCTTGAAAACAAAATAAAACGAAGAGAACAAACTATTTCTTAAAAAATAAAAATAGTGTGCAATTTAAAAACATTCACATATAATGTGAATTAAGAAACATATTAAAGCATTTCCTGACCATTTCTATTTAAATTAAGATTTACAGAATAATTCAAAATTAAATTACTCCAGTTCAGATAACGAAAGCAGCTTTTAATACACATGCTCAATATTAAATATTTGTTTCTTGAAATGTAGGAGGGGCAAGAGAAAAAGAAGGAAAGTCAAATAAAAAAGCACAGATATCTATTTTTTTTTGGGGGGGGGGGGTAATTAACCCTCACCCGAGGTTATTTTTCCATTAATTTCTAGTCAGAGTGGAAGAAAGAGAAACATCGATGTGAGAGAAACACATTGATTGATTGCCTCTTGCACGCACCCCTACCAGGGACAGAGCTGGGGAGGAACCTGCAAAAAAATTATGTGCCCTTGACCAAAACTAAACCAGAGACCCTTTGGTCCACAGGACAATGCTCTATCCACTGAGCCAAACTGGCTAGGACAAAAAAGCACAGATATCTAAGTGCCTGAGTTGGGAGCCTCTAATGAACATAGAACAAACTGCATTCTTCCTTAGCCATAGCAGTTATCTAAGTCAGCTCCATGTGTAAAAGAGCAGACAAGAAAAGCTGTTAACCTATTTCTTCAAATGGTATTAGAATAGGTTTTAAGTGGTATATGAATGTAGAATAATCCCATATTACATTGGCAGAAAGTAATTCCTTTTTCAATTTTAATCTTTTGATTTTATGATTTTATACAGAAGAATGTCCCAGTATTTGATGTTGTCTTTAATATTATGCCAGTATTTTCTAGCTTTCTTCATTAACAAAGAGCCAGCCACATGCTAAAAACATTATGTAGGTAGATAAAAATTATTTTTTATTCTTGTTTCCAGTGCATTTACTTATGGGATTAACCTCTATTTTTGCAAGTAATGTTGGTTTCCAATTATAGTAAGATTGCTCCTTTTACAAATAAACTTAAGCCCTGGCCTGTGCACCAGACTGTCACAGGTTCGATTCCTGCCCTCAGTCCAGGTGCATATAAGAGGCTACCAATCGGTGTCTCTTTCACATCAATGTTTCTCTCTCTCTCTCTCTCTCTCTCTCTCTCTCTCTCTCTCTCTCTCTCTCTCTCTCTCCTTCTCTCCCCTCTCTCCCCTCTCTCCCCTCTCTCCCCTCTCTCCCCTCTCTCTCCTCTCTCTCCTCTCTCTCCTCTCTCTCCTCTCTCTCCTCTCTCTCCTTTCCTCTCCACTCCCACTGTGTGTGTGTGTGTGTGTGTGTATCCTCACTCCTTGGGTGAGGATTTAAAATGATATAAACAAACAAACTTAAGGCCTGGCTGGTATTGCTCAGTGGTTCGAGTATCAGCCTGTGCACTAAAGGGTCATGGGTTCAATTCCCAGTCAAGGGCATATACCTAGGTTTCAGGTTTGATGCCGGGCCCCCGTCAGGGCACCTGCATGTAAGAAGCAACCAATCAATGTGTCTCTCTCACATTGATATTTCTCTCTCCCCCACCCACCCAACCTCCTTTCCTCCCTCTCTAAAAATCAGTGGAAGAAATATCCTTGGGTGAAAAGGAGCAAAAATAAACAAACAAGCAAGCAAACTTAAATAACAAATGAGTTGATTTAAATAAAAATATTAAGTCAATGCAGTACAAATGGGAATAAGAGCAAGATACATGAATGTATAATCTGAGTGACTAAAATCCAAGAAACAATGAACTACCAAAAACTAAATGACTTTATAGTTTCATGACAGAATTAAAAATATAAAGGTTGGAATCCCTATGAATTAGAAAACATGAATAGTTAAAACGTGACAAGATATAAATCTTGAGATTCCATAGGAAATCAAAGCAGCTTCATCAACAATGATCTCACTTCTAAAAATGAATATTAAACTAACCAATTTTATATGCTTATTAGGAGAAGCAGAAGACCAGCACATTTAATATTATGGTTCACTTTCCCTTTCAATGGTACTTTTAACTTATAAACAAAATCTAAGTCACTTCTTTCCTAAAATATCAGCAGGGATTTGGACCATGTCCCTAAAGGCAAAAATATTTAATAGTAAAAGTATCACTAACCAAGAGAGAATTGCTGTTGGCTATTTATTTCCCCTTAAAGCTTGCAAAGTCTCTTACTCTTTTCCATAGAAAATCCTCTCTGAGTACACTAAGAAAATTACTTACTTTAGTTGGTTGAATTAGGATAGAAAAATTACCACAAAGTGTGAGATATTCCTATTTCAAATTCACTTAACCTAAGTCAACAACAACAAAAAAATTTAATTTTGACTAAAAAGTTGATAAGCATATAAAGTATTAGAGTCCTAAGTGAAGAAATATGCCTCATTTCTATTTCTATCAGTTTATGTATAATATTTAAGTAGGAGAATAATGTCAAAAATATATTGGAGTTGGACTCACAAATGATTTTTACTAGGCAGGGGACCCAGAATTTTAACCTTCAGCAAAGACAAAGAAAAGCCCTTAACTTGGTTGCAGCATAGGCAGAAGCCAATAATCTTTCTTTTTTTTCCCCCCAATTAAAAAGATACACTACCCCACCCCTAAAGAGAGAGCACAGCCAAGGCTCTCCTTGTGTGCTCTCCTCAGAGATGTATATCCCTAGCTCACAAAAGACTGCCCTTTCTCCAGTGTCTACTTTAATGGCTGCTCTATTACTGGCTCAGAGCTCCACTCCCATATGCATTTTTTCAGTATCCTTCATCCACCATTTCATTAGAATGTTTTGAGTATTTTTAATATATTGAAGAAATCGCCAGCACCAAATTATCTGTCAAAACTGTTCAATTATCACTAAGGTACCATTTATGGTTATTATTGCTCTATAGCAAGGTTACATAGATTCTCAATGATTTGTCCTAATCCTGTATTAACCATGAGCTAGCTCTGTTATTTTTAAGGGTTCAGTTTTGCAGAATGCAAACGTTTTCAGGAATACATGTATCATGTTAGTTTCTACACTATTACCCTCATATATCTATAATCCTATCATAAACCGCCAAGTTATATGAACAGCTGTATAGTAAACCAGCTAGTTAACATCTAGGCCTTACCTGGTCTCTGGCTCACTGGTGGACTCCCATCAATTCCTGAGAGTATAATGGGAACAGAGCCAAGGGATGAAGTTGGTGTGGTCACCACGGAGGAAGATGTAGCTGTGGTCACCACGACTATGGAGGTGGAAGCAGTGGAAGTAACAGGAAGAGTTATGGTTGGAGGAGATGCCACCAAAGACTTAGGAAAAGCAACTGAAGCCACAGGGGTAGTTATCCCAGTTGTTTTGATAAGGTTCACAGTGCCTGTAGATTGGGTAGATGTTACAGGGGTGCTGGTATTAGTTTCAGAGACCTCAACAACACCCGCAGTGGTGGCACCAGAAGGACAAGTAGTTTCTTTAGTTCCCATGTCAGACATAGCAGTCTTAGGTGTCACAGCAGTAACATTCTCTAAAAACACTTGAGGGGTGGTGGTAGTGACAGCAGCAGTCACAGAGCTGCACACCTCAGAAGAAACCACAGGTGTGACGACCATTACTGGAGAAGGTCTGATACTGAACTTCTGTGGCCCTGTCAGGGGTTGGGGTGTGCTAACTCCAGGTATCTTCTGCTGCAGGGCTCCAACTTTACTCATCACAAACTGTGTGAACACACCACCAGGAGAGGGTCGTGCCGCTGCAAATAAAAATTTGCAGGTCAAAAATCTTCAGTTCTCGTATTTTATCCTCTTAGTGATTGTGTTTATCAACCATTTATTTGTGTACCGCTGGGTCCACTTCTTACGGGTACTACCTTCCTGCAATATACATGTCCAATTTCCATATATAGAAATCAAAACACTTCCCTCAGCCCATACCCAACTTTTATAATCTAACAAGAAAGGAATTAAAATTGGGCATTCCTACTAAAAATCTTTTGTCTGCACAATATAGCCATATTGCCAGGACACTAAAAAGACAATATAGCTGCCCTGGCCAAGTGGCTCAGTTAGTTGAAGTATTATCCTGTACACCAAAAGGCTGTGGGTCTGATTCCTTGTCAGGGCACATGCTTAAGAAGGGAGTTCAAAGGGGTGTGTACGACAGGCAACCAATAGATGTTTTTCACATCGATGCCTCTCTCTCTCTCTCTCACTCACTCTCTAAAAATCAGTGAAAACATGTCCATCCTCAGGTGAGGATTGAAAATAAATTTTAAAATTAAAATAAAAAAAATACAGCAGCACACAACTACAAACAGATAAAGAAGAAAAGAAGATTCCCCCCCACCCCGCTATTTAACTAACTTAAAATTTTTTCCACCACTTCTTCCTATCCCAGCCCCTCCATCTCTTTATTGCAGTCCTCTTATAAGACAGTTTAGATTTACTATCTTATTTTTAAACTGTACGAAAACATTTTTCATGAGAGGGCAGAATAGGACTATTTATTTTTTAAATCACCACTACTTTATAAAAAAAGAGATAAAATGGGTTCCTTGTAAGGCATACACTGTCTATCCCTATATCTTCCCACAACTCTAGCATTCAGCCAGAGACTTCAATTTCCTATTACTAGAGGAAAAAACATAGTAATAGAAACTTTTACTTAACATTCCTAAAAAGATTTGAAACAACAAAAAGAAATTCAATAAACCAACTATATATACTCTCAATGCTAAAACACAAAGGTTTTCAAGAAAGTAATTTATTATAGACTCTAGCACTAAAGTTAAGCAAAAGATTTTCATTCAAAGAACAGGGATGAATAGAATAATCTTCCCAAAATTATGTTTTCCAACAGCCTTCTATACTTTAAGCCTATACTAAATCTGATTTTGCTAGCTCTATTGTTTAAGAAGTTCAAGGAACATGCACATGATTGGTACCAATAACACCAGTCCTCATAAAAGAAATATTAAATTAGGGAAAAGTACTTAAGACCATGTGTTGTCCTTTTAAACATAAAATGAAAAACAAAATTTAAAAACTATGTTTTTTTCTGCATTAATAAAAGTTTAAAAGTTTGAGCAATACTGAGAGGGAGCGAGGCCCGCAAGGCTGAGCTGCTGCTGAGACCACAGGGAGCACTGACACTCCAGGGACAGCCCCTTCCATTTGTTTTCTTTACTTCTGATAACAGGACTCCATGGGCATTTGGAAACAATTTTATTTTTTTCTGGTAGAACAGTAACTACAACCATATTTTATATTTTTCAAAAAAGAAAGAAAAGAAAAAAAAAAAGTTTGGGCAATAATTGTAAAACTAAAGTTCAATTAATCTAGTATTATAGGTCATCATTAGGAGCGTTCCCAAAATATTTGAGCAAGACAGACATTGAGAATAATGCCAAATTTTTTATCCCTCCACTTTTTACAATTTCCATACTATATCCACAGGCAAGAAGCAAGACACAAATCTTTCCAAAACATATACATTACAACTTACCAATTGGCCTTTTTGCCGGGACAAATGCCTTCAGATTCTTCCCAGGGTGATTTGTTGCAGTGCCAGAGGAGGATGCCATTTTGGAATTGGATGTTGAAGGCAACAGGGTACGTGGTTTCCTGGATGCAGCCACCTTGGCATTGGATGCTACCTTGGAGATGACAGTACTGAGGGTTGAGAGGTCCAGGACTGAGGGTCGCAACCTGCCTGTGATATAAGCAGCTAGCCTATTGGCTGGATGCAATGCCCCCATCTGTCCCAATAGCAACTTAGCCTGCGGGTAACTCTTACCATTAACCTGAAACAAGTGGCAAAGAGAAATTCTGTAAAGATAAAATTCTCTTGCTAACTCATCTCCCTTGACAGGGGTTTCATTTTTACAAGGTTTTAAAAGTCTATTTTTCATATTTAAAGGGGAAAAAAAATGGGCTTTTCCCACTTGGTATAATTGGAATAATCAGGAGGTGAAAAAAATACTATTATCTGATCTTATAAATTAACCTCATCCTTCATTTTAGTAATTTGGAAACAGAGACTCTTATTAAATCATTATATCTACATCGCAGAAATGGGAAAGATACATCAAATCTAAACAATCATCCAATTATTTTACTTTGTCAATAAGCAATTCTGATTAAGTTGTTAACAATCATCAGCAAAAATGACTAACTGTATTCTCCAGATTTTCTGACAAGACTAAAAAGGCATAATGAAGCCCTCTCACAAAGGTCCTTTCAAGCTACCCTTCACATTTGGGAAATATACAATGAATCTAACCTATGTCATAAAGTAACCTTAGTTTTCTAAAAACTCAACTTTGAAGATATTGTCTTCATCTCTTGGATAAAAGTTGGGCTGGCTCAAAATAAATGATAGTAGAAACTCTGTAATTTTTGAAATAGTCACTAAATTGTCAGTAGAAAGTAAATCAATGAATGAAGTAAAGATTTTTTTTCTACTACCTGAATTGTCAGACTGCCTAATTTGGGCAGCAGGGAAGTTATTCTTACCCATGTTCTCTAAATTATATTGCTGGATTAGTAAAGAAGATATCCTTTTTTATCCCTTCTTTATATCACTTAAAAAAAGGAGGAGGTAGAGGGAGTTGGAGAAACTCAAATTCTCCAAATTAATAGGGAACTGGTGAGGAGAATCACTACAGCAAGCCACTCTCTCTTCAAGGACACAAACATAATTACTCTTTGCTACTTAAGTAAAATTGTGATTATTCCTAGATAATCAGATATATCTTTGCCTATGTTGATACAAAAAATTGTGATCTTTCTATCCTAAAGTAAACGTTACTGTGTTTTTCAGGCTCTATGGAGTCCAGATCAGATATCCCTAATCTGCTCCTTTGAGAGACTTGCCCTAAACATTACTCAACAGCTTTCCCAAAAGCCTACAGTGGCCTGACTGCTTATGCAAATTCACATTTTATGATGGTTTTCTGAGTCCTATAAAGAAGAAGAGAACACAAAATGTCCATGCCTATATTTCAGGGAGTCTAAACTCTCTAGAAATGATCTCAGGTAAATCTTGGCTCTCAAAGTATTAATAAATGCAATAAAGAGAAAACCCTGTTCTACTCATCATTAAAGAATTAAGAAATACCAACAGAAGCAGTTATATAGGACCACCAAGAATAAACTGCAATAAAAGTTTTTAAGTAGATCATCCATATTGTTATTGGAATAGTCCTTAGCCCAGAGAAGCAGTCAAGCTAATACAGTCAAGTAACCTTAACAATAATGTCAGACACTTCCACACATTTGCTATGCTGATATAAAAGTGCACTTAATGTCTCTGAGCAAGAGGAGAAAACCTTTTTGACTATGACTAAATTTTAATTCAGAATTTCTCTTTCCAAAGGCTTTTCTACATGCCAGGGTAATTTTACTAATATAACCTGCCTGAATTACTTAACAGTAAGGGTAGAGATATTTTTCCTGCAACAATGATTATACTGACAAAACCCCTATGAATCATACAAAGAAAAAAGTACTTAAGCAAGCAAATTGTGGCTCATTTAAAAAAACTTTTATGATTTGAATAACACCTTAATTTTTCTCCTAGTTTCCAAACATATGCTGCCTATTTTAAAATCAATTTGATCTCATTTAATTTGAAAGCTTTCTTCTAATAATAATCTCAAGAACTAAACTGAATCCCTTACTATCCTTGCTTGGTTGCTAAAGAATCACTAGAACCAGACAACGGAGTTTAAGAGGAACAACTTTCTGAGGACTAGGGTCTACTTTTGTTTATAAGTATGACAAAAATTCACTCTAGGTATGCTTCTAACCTAGACCTATTACAAAAAGAGATAATTATTTTGTCACTCAGTTCCCAGACAATGTGAAATAAGGCCCACAGAGGGCTCTGAAAAATAAAGGTGTTACCTAAATATAAAAAAGTGCTACACCCAGATTAAAGGTAATTCTCACCTGGATAAGCCCAGATGTGCTTGAACTGGGTTTACGTTTATAGGCCACAAGTTTCCCTGCAGGAGAAAGCCCTGCATAAAAGGGCAGACCTTTGCCTCCATGTAATCTCTCCCTCACTGAATCCAGGGCATCTGTCTGCACAGGAGAGAGATCATCCATTTTCCCAGGGGATAATGGACCATCAGGAGTCTCTGATCCAGATTTCTCAGCCATATCATCTTGGTCTTGACATGATGGCATAGAGATTTTCACACGAGAAGAATAAACAGGGGGGCTCTTCTCACCCCGGCTCTTTCGCTGAGAAGCCAACTCAATGATGAAGCTGCCCACCTTAAGTGACTGTGGCATGTTGCTATTGATGTGCTGGGATAAGATGCTCAATATCTTGTTCCGATCCTCCTCCCAGTTGCAGTCTGAGATGATTTCTATCAGTTTGGTGGGACCACCAGGTGACCTCTGATGCACATAGGAAGTAGAAGAGGATTCCCCTTCATTGCAGGAAGACTTCCAGCTCTTTTCTGGTAAGAAATTAAAAGATATTTCTATATTAACGCAATTTACCCTCAACTTTGAAAGATTTTTACTTTCCCTAAGTTCTCAGAAAAGTACCAGGGGTATAGAAATTCAACAGTTCCCCTGGTTTGGCTCAGTGGATAGGGCGTCAGCCTGTTGATTCAAAGGTCCCGGGTTCGATTCCGGTCAAGGGCATGTACCTTGGTTGCGGCGCATCCCCAGTGGGGGGTTTTCAGGAGGCAGCTGACTGATGTTTCTCTCTCATCGATGTTTCTACCTCTCTATCCTTCTCCTTTCCTGTCTGTAAAATCAATAAAATATATTCAAAAAAAGAAAAAGAAATTCAACAGTTGCCTCGGGGAAACCAAGATGGCGGCATAGGTAAACACCTAACTACTGCGGGGACCGGTTTGGCTCAGTGGATAGAGCGTCGGCCTGCGGACTGAAAGGTCCTGGGTTCGATTCCGGTCAAGGGCATGTACCTTGGTTGCGGGCACATCCCCAGTAGGGGGTGTGCAAGAGGCAGCTGGTCAATGTTTCTCTCTCATCGACGTTTCTAACTCTCTGTCCCTCTCAATTCCTCTCTGTGTAAAATCAATAAAATATATTTTAAAAAAAAACAAACACACCTAACTACTGCCTCACACAACAATTTCAAAACTACAACTAAAACACAAAATGTCTATCACCTAGAACCATGGGAAAGCTGGCTGAGTGGAAGTTCTACAACTAGAAGGAAAGAGAAGAGCATTGAGATGTGCACAAGTGCTGAAAAGCTGGGGTACGGAGGTGCGCAAATGAGGCTGGCAGCGGGTGTCTGGATTCACTGCTTTTTTCAACCCGAAGGGAGACAAGCTCCTGATTACTCTGAACTCCAGTTTCTGGGGAGATGTTGGGGACCCAAACTCCTACGGGGAGAAGCTGGACTGTCTGCTATTGGGTTGGAAAGGGTGGCTTTCTTGCAGAGGTGTACACAGCAATCATTGTTTACCTCTCTAGAGCACAAAACAAGGGGACAGGAAAACTCGGACAAAACAAGGGGATAGGGAAACTCGGAAACACAGAGATGGCTGACTGTGCCAGCCACACAATCTACAAACCCACCCAAGCTCCACACAGCAGCTTTTGCATATAAATGGCCTGCCCTATCACAGCCTAACAAACTGCAGCTGAGGTCAAACAGCTCCAAAACCTCCAAACCCCAAGCAAAGAGGAGAAAACTGTAGTTCTCGCTATAACTCCTGCTGGGTGGCCTCAGACAGTAGCTGACATGCACCCCATTGGAGATCCAGAAGCTAGTGTATCTAGTGGTCAGTATGAGACGACACCAGATTTCAACTACTCACATCCATGAATTGACACATTCAAGAAGCAGACTCAGTAAGCACCAAAGCCCCATTGAAACAAGTCCTGCCCCGTAAGCGTGTCTCTAGCACAGCAGTTCTTCCATTATAGACACAGTGGGTCCTCACAGCCAATTGACCTAGAGATCAATTCTTCCCAGTGTACCAACATCAATCAAGGCTTAACTATACCAAGACGATGCACTCAGCCCACAAAGGGGTATACCAAGAGCGTCCACCTCAGGTGATGGGGGAGGCAGAGCCACTGGGCGCTATAGGTAACCTACCACAGAAAACCACTCCATCAACACAGGGAAGCAGCAAAATGCGGAGACAAACATGTCATGAATGAAAGAAATGGAGGAAAGCAAACTACTGGACATAGAGTTCAAAACCACATTTATAAGGTTACTCAAGAATATTTTAGCCGAAACCGGTTTGGCTCAATGGATAGAGCATCGGCTTGGGGACTGAAAGGTCCCGGGTTCGATTCCGGTCAAGGGCATGTACCTTGGTTGCGGGCATATCCCCAGTAGGGGGTGTGCAAGAGGCAGTTGATCTATGACTCTCTCTCATCGATGTTTCTAACTCTAACTCTCTCCCTTTCTCTCTGTACAAAATCAATAAAATATATTTAAAAAAAAAAAAAAGGATATTTTAAAAACCACTAAGAAACTTGATGAGCCCTCTGTGGAGCTTAGTGAGACCTTCAAGGACCTTAATTAAAATGCCAAAAAATTGAAAAGGACCAGTCAAAAATTAAGCTACACTGTCTGAAATAAACTACATAGACATTCAACTGTAGATCAAAGGACCCCAAGAATCAAACCAAAGATCTGAAATATGAGGAAACAAACAAACAAATACCCAAGCAGAAAATCAAAAAGAAAAAAGAATCCAAAAAGTTGAATATAGTGTAAGATGCCTCTGGGACAACTTCAAGCATACCAACAACAAAATTTTTGGGGTGTCAGAAGAAAAGAAAGAGCAAGATAGGACAACTTCAAGCATACCAACATCCAAATTATTGGGGTGCCAGAAAGAGCAAGATATTGAAAACCTATTTGAAGAAATAATGACTGAAAACTTTCCCTACCTGGTGAAAGAAATAGACTTACAAGTCCAGGAATCGCACAGAACCCCAAACAAGAGGAATCCAAAGAGGACCACACCAAGACACATCATAATTAAAATGCCAAGGGCAAAAGACAAAGAGAGAATATTAAAAGCAGCAAGAGAAAAACAGTAGCCTACAAGGGAGTGCCCATATGACTATCTACTGATTTCTTCTATGCTGGCCAGAAGGGAGTGGCAAAAAATATTCAAAGTGATGAATAGCAAGAACCTACAACCAAGATTACTCTACCCAGCAAAGCTATTATTCAGAATTGAAGGCCAGATAAAGAGCTTCACAGACAAAAAAAAAAGTTAAAGGAATTCACCACCACCAAACCAGGATTATATGAAATGCTAAAGGGTATTCTTTAAAAGGAGGAAGAAGAAGAAAAAAGTAGAGATAAAATTTATGAACAACAAAATAACAAATACATATTATGCTTCATTAAAAAAAAAAAGTTGGAAACCTCTGCTGCTTTAGTGTCTGAAGTTTTAGGAAGCAAAACCAAAAACAAATAGTTAACTCCCTAAACATTCTCTCACACCAAATTTGGCAATAGCCTCTGCTAGGTAAATACTTCCTTTGTCCCTCTGCCATTTTCCAACAGCAATATCTACTGAGAACCTGAGTAAAAATTTCCATAGCTAGCCGGGACCGGTTTGGCTCAGTGGATAGAGCGTCAGCCTGCAGACTGAAAGGTCCGGGGTTCGATTCCGGTCAAGGGCATGTACCTTGGTTGCGGGTGCATCCCCAGTGGAGGGTGTGCAAGAGGCAGCTGGTCGATGTTTCTCTCCCATCAACGTTTCTAACTCTCTGTCCCTCTCAATTCCTCTCTGTGTAGAATCAATAAAATATATTTTTTAAAAAATTTCAATAGCTAAACAAAAGAAACTGAGGTTTAAAAAAAAGTTTAAAAAAAAGAAAATCACAGCCTAGCCAGCATGGCTCAGTGGTTGAGCACTGATCTAAAACCAGGAGGCCACAGTTCTATCCAGTCAGGGCATATGCATAGGTTGCAGGCTCGATCCCCAATGTGGAGAATGGGGCATGCAGGAGGCAGCTGATCATTATCTCTCATCACTGATGTTTCTATCTCTCCCTCCCTCCCCCTTCCTCTCTGAAATAAATTTATAAATATAAATATATAGCCAAAACTGGTTTGGCTCAGCGGATAGAGCATCGGTCTGCAGACTGAGGGGTCTCAGGTTTGATTCCAGTGAAGGACATGTACCTTGGTTGTGGGTACATCCCCAGGAAGTGTGCAGGAGGCAGCTGATCAATGTTTCTCTCTCACTGATGTTTCTAACTCTCTATCCCTCTCCTTTCCTCTCTGTAAAAAAAAAAAAAAAAAAAAAAAAAAAAAAAATCCTACCTAAAAGAGTAATATGCAAATTAACCACCACTCTGCTACACTCACAAGCCATGCCCACTACCCACGCCCACCAGCCAATCAGAACAAGTATGCATATAAACCCAACCAAGATGGCTATAGCCATAGAGAGCAGGAGGGAGGCTTGGTTTTCATAGGCAACAGAAGAAGCCAAGCTTTCTGCCTGCTCTTGCCGGCCTAAGCCTCCACTCAAGGCTACAAAGTGTCAATTATAGAAGATACAAAAAATTCCAACAGAAATGGTTGCCGGCCATGGAGCACACAGGCTTGGCTCCACTCCAGGCTACAAAGTTTCAATTGTAGAAGGTAAATAAATTCCAGATACCAGGGCCTCTGCTTGGGTTCCCTGGGGGCATGACTGGTCTGCAAACCACCATAGGCCCCTCACTCAGGCCGCCCAACCCCTAAAGGAACCTCCACCCTGATCTGGGACCCCTTCAGGACAAACCAGCTGGCCCCCTCCCATGCACCAGACCTCTATCCTATCTAATAAAAGAGTAATATGCAGATTGACCATCACTCCAACATACAAGATGGCTTCCCCCATGTGGTCAAATATCCTGCCCTTTTGTGGACACAAGATGGCCACCACAAGATCGCCAGCAGGGGAGGGCAGTTGGGAGGCACCAGGCCTGCAAGGGAGGGCAGTTGGAGGAGATCAACCCTGCAGGGGAGGGCAGTTATTAGTGACCAGGCCGGCAGAGGAGGGAAGTTGGGGGCAAACAGGCTGGCAGTGGAGCAGTTAGACATCAATCAGGCTGGCATGGGAGTGGTTAGGGGGTGATCAGGCTGGCAGGCAGAAGTGATTAGGGTAATCAAGAAGGCAGGCAGGCGAACAGTTGGGAGCCAACAGTCCTGGATTGTGAGAGGGATGTCCAACTGGCCTCTAGGGGTCCCAGATTGGAGAGGGTGCAGGCTGGGCTGAAGGACACCCCACCAGCCCTGTGCACGAATTTTATACACTGGGCCTCTAGCATATATATATATATATATATATATATATATATATATATATATTTTTTTTTTTTTTTAATTACTAACAAGACAGGGATATTCACTTTCACCATTTTTATTCAACATAGTACTGAAATCCTAGCCACAGCAATTACACAAAAAATAAAAGGCATCCAAATTGGAAAGAAGTAAAACTGTCATTATGTGCAGATGACATAACTGCATATGAAGAACCCTAAAGATTCCACCAAAAAAACTATTAGAACTGATAAATTCAGTAAAGTAGCAGGATACAACAAAAAATACTCAGAAATCAGATGTATTTTTATATATCATTAATAAACTATCTGAAAGAGAAACTAAGAAAACAATCCCATATACAACTACCTTCAAAAAAGAAAAACATGCCTAGGAATAAATTTAACCAAGGAAGTAAAAGAGCTGTATCCAAAAAAATTGTAAGACAATAAAAAAATAAATTGAAGATACTAATAAATGGAAGTATACACCATACTCACGGATAGAAAAAATTGATATAATAAGTAATAATACAAGAATAAACTGTGTTTCACATACAACTGTAAACCTACTTTTGCCCCAACCTGCACACTAGGAACATACAAGTCAACACCAAAAGAAAAACAAAAGAATCCAATTAAAATATGCGCAGAGGACCTAGACATTTCTCCAGAGGACATATAGATGGCCAATAGATATACGAAAAGATGCTCAATGTCACTAATTATCATAGAAATGCAAAGTAAAAACACAATGAGATATCGCCTCATATCTGTCAGAATGTTCATTATCAATAAATCTATAAACAAGTGTTGCCAAGGATGTTGATAAAAGGGTACTCTTGTGCACTGTTGGTGGGAATACAGATTGGTGCAGTTACTGTGGAAAACAGGATGGAGGTTCTTCAAAAAATAAATTAAAAGTGAAACTACCTTATGCCAGCAATACTGCTTTGGGGCACATATTCAAAAAAACTCAAAACACTAATTAGAAAGGAAATGTGCACCACTACGTTCACTGCAGTGTTATTTATAATAGCCAAGATTTGAAATCAGCCCAAGTGTCTATCAGTAGAGGAGTGGATAAAAAAGTATGTAGCCCTAGCCGGTTTGACTTAGTGGCTAGAGTGTCAGCCTGGGAACCAAAGGTGGGTCCCATGTACAATTCCAGTGAAGGGCATGTTGAACCTTGGTTGCAGGCTCCTCCCTGGCCCAGACCCCGGTCAGGGGTCATGTAGGAGGCAACTAATCGATGTATTTCTTTCACATCTAAATTCCTCTCTGTCTTTCCCTCTGTCATCCACTCTCCCTAAAATTTAATGGAAAAATATTCTTGGGAGAGGATTAACAAAAATGAATTTTTTTAAAAAGCTATGGTACATACATATCTACAGTAGAATATTACTCAGCCTTTAAAAAGAATGAAATCTTATCGTTTGCAACAGCATGGATGGACCTAGAATGTATTATGCTAATTGAATAAGTCAGAAAAAGATAAACACCATATGATTTCACTTATATGTGGAATCTGAAGAACAAACAAAATTTAAATGGACTCATAGATACAGAGAACAGACTGATGGCAGAGAAGAGGGGGAGAGGGAGCTTGGGGAACTGGCTGAAAATGGTGAAGTGATTATTAAGAAATACAAATTGGTAGTCACAAAACAGTCACAGGAATGTAAAGTACAGCATAGGAAATACAGTCAACAATATTGTAATATTGTAATAACTATGTATGGTGCCAGGTAGGTATTTGAAATATCAAGGGAAACATTTTGTAAAGTTTATGATCATCTAACCACTATGCTGTACACATAAACATACAAAATAATATTAAAATATTAAATGTAAACTGTAATTGAAAAATAAAATTAAAAAGAAAATCACTGATTTCAATCCTAAATGTCTCTTGCAACAACATGCCACAGCAATGAATGAATTTTATTTCTTAGGACAGGAGTGATAAAGAGACCAAATAACAGGAAAAAACTTATATCATCTCTATTTTTAGCAGAAGCTAAAAACAGAGTAGGTCAACATATTATGGATTGTTATTTTTATTTTTATTATAATCCACACATATATAATTACTATCAAATAATTAAGATCTGGTTTTCATGCTGACCTTGTGATTTATCAGAATCATCCTCGAGGTCACAGGTAATTGGTTTCGAGGGCTGTTGTTCAGCATCGGGCTCCTGAAGAAGAAATAACACAAAAGTACTTAAATACTTATATTGATGTTTAGTATCACTAAAGACTAGGATATAAGATTAAATCTTCCAAAAGAAGCCCTGAAACAGTAGAAAGATTAAAATGACAACAGCTTCATATCTATATACACAGCTGCATACTATCATATTACATGTGGCAAAAACACATACACTCGCTCTGTAATATTCCTGATAATGACTGAGTCACCAAGAAAAAAATTTATATAGTATTTTATATTGTATTCTACTAAAGAAGGAAAAATATTTGCTGTTTAATGGGCCAAGTTTCAGTTATTTAGAAATTTCACCAATGTGGAAAGACACAAATTCTGATAATTACAGATAATTTAATTTAAACTAGAAATGTTTAAACTTTTAAAAATTTCTCTAGCATTAAAAAGAGTAATATTTTTAACAACCCTAAGAAACTGTTCTCTAAAATAGGTTTGCAGAGAAACAGATGATACACACATCAAGTAAGCCTTCTCTGTCTCACAAGATTTACTCTAAATTATTCTGGTAGTAATATAAATTCTAATATCAGCAACAGGAAATTGAAAGTTAAAAAGAGAAAGTATGCAATAAGTAATTCACCTTTGCACTACAGTTCTCAGGACTAGAATGACATGAGCTGAGCTGCAGAAATGATGGGGATGGGGATGGTGACGGCTGTCTCTGTTCCTCTTTTTTTCGTTCATAAACTCGAACTCGGGCACAAGTCATCATACTTTCAAAGTACAAGTAGACGGGATCCTTGTCTTCTTCCCGAATCTGTAAGTTTCATACAATGAAATATTCCAAATATTGGGATTGGAGTGGGGAGCCTCCTATACTTCAAAAGGCAAAGGATGTTTAATTTTTCTTATCACAATACTTGAAATTTTTAAATGCAAATTTTAAAGTTAAATAGTATAAATATAGTTCATATGTGCCGAAACTCAGGGCAATCAGAAAGGAAAGAATTCTCTATCAAGAAATTTCAGAGAGAAACCAAGATGGTGGCCAAGGTTAACAACTAATCTGCCGCCTCACACAACAATTTAAAAACTATACCTAAAAGACAAAACGTCTATCACTCAGAACCACGAGAAAGCTGGCTGAATGGAGCACAAGTGCTGAAAAGCTAAAAAGCTGAGGTACGGAGGCATGCAATCGGGTTGGTGGTGGGCTACTGGGCGTGTGGCTTTATTTCAACCCGAAGGGAAACAAACTCAAGATCACTTAGAAATCCAGTTTCTGGGGTCACGCAGGGGACCCAGACGACTACGGGGAGAAGCTGGTCTGTCGGCCATTGGGTCCGAAAGTGAGGGTGACTTTTTTGCAAAGGTGCATGCAGCAATCATTGTTTTCTGCACTGGAGCACGGGGACTTGGAAATGCAGAAAGGCAGAGAGGGCTAAAGGCAGTCATTGCTGTTTTCCACACCCCAGCCTAGTGACATCCAGAGCCCCCGCTCCGCCCTCAGGCCCTGCCCACACACATTCTACAAAGCCCTGGCTCCACACACAGCAGCTTTTGCATATAAATGGCCTGTTCTCTGGCAACTTAAAAAAATAAACTGCAATTCCAGTCAGACTGCTCCAAAACTGCCAAATCCCAAGCAAAGAGGAGAAAACTGTAGTTCCCGCTGTAGCTCCTGCTGGGTGGCCTCAGCCAGTAGCTGACATGCACTTCATTGGAGATCCAGAAACTAGTGTATCTAGTGGGCAGTGTGGGATGATACCAGACTTCAACTACTCTCATAAGGGACACATTCAAGAGGCAGATTCAGTGAACACCAAAGCCCTACTGGAACAAGTCCTGCCCCATAAACGTGTTTCCAGCATAGCAATTCTTCCATTAGAGACACAGCGGGTCCTCACAGCCAATTGGCCTGGAGGTCAGTTCCTCCCAGTGATACCAACAACAATCAAGACTTAACTACAAGGCTCTACACACAGTCCACAAAGGGGTGCACCAAGAGTGTCCACCTCAGGAAACTGGGAGGCTGACCCATTGAACCATATAGGACACCCAGCACCCCTACCATATAGGACACACAAAGCTACCCTACCAACTCAGGGAAGCAGCGAAAATTAGGAGACAGGGAAAAGGATCACAAACGAAAGAAATGGAGGGGAACAAATGACTGGACATAGAGTTCAAAACCACAGTCATAAGGTTTTTCAAGAATGTCCTAGAAAAGGCTGATAATTTAACGAGATCCTCAAGGATATGAAAAGGACCAACTAGAAAGTAAACATAAAGTGACTGAAATAAAAAATATTATAGAGAGATCCAACAGCAGACTAGAGGAACACAAGAATCAACTCAAAGATTTGTTACACAAAAAGGCAAAGGACACTCCTCCGGAGAAGCAGAAAAAAAAGATAGTGTAAGAATAAAGTTGAAGATAGTGTAAGAAGCTTCTGGGACAACTTCAAGCGTACCAACATCAGAATTATGGGGGTGCCAGAAGAAGAGAGTGAGCAAGATACTGAAAAGCTATTTGAAGAAATAATGACAAAAAACTTCCCCCACCTGGTGAAAGAAATATACTTACAAGTCCAGGAAGCACACAGAACCCCAAACAAAAGGAATCCAAAGAGGACCACACCAAGACACATCATAATTAAAATGCCAAGGGCAAAAGACAAGGAGAGAATCTTACAAGCAGCAAGAGAAAAACAGTTACCTACAAGGGAACACCCATATGATTATCAGCTGACTTCTCAACAGAAACTATGCAGGCCAGATGGGAGTGGCAAGAAATATTCAAAGTGAACCTACAATCAAGATTACTCTAGCCGGGACCGGTTTGGCTCAGTGGATAGAGTGTCGGCCTGCGGACTGAAGGGTCCCGGGTTCGATTCCGGTCAAGGGCATGTACCTTGGTTGCGGGCACATCCCCAGTAGGGGGTGTGCAAGAGGCAGCTGATCGATGATTCTCTCTCATCGATGTTTCTAACTCTCTATCGCTCTCTTCCTCTCTGTGAAAAATCAATAAAATATATTTAAAAAAAAAAAAAAAAAAAGATTACTCTACCCAGCAAAGTTATCATTCAGAATTGAAGGCCAGATAGAGCTTCACAGAAAAGAAAAAGCTAAAGGAGTTCATCACCACCAAACCAGTATTATATGAAATGCTAAAAGGTGTACTTTAAAAAAGAGGAAGAAGAAGAAGAAAAAGGTAGAGATAAAAATTATGAACAAATGCATATCTATCAACAAGTGAATCTAAAAGTCAAGTGAATTGACTTAAAAATCTGCAGAACAGAATAAACTGGTGAATATAATAGAATCAAGGGCATAAAATGGTAGGGGATTAATAATTCTCAGGGGAAAAGAGGTGTCTGAGTGGAGGGTATGGGAAGAGACTGGACAAAAATGATACACCTATGGATGAAGACAGTGGGGTAAGGGGGGAGGTAAGGACAGAGGGTGAGGTGGGGACCAGGTGGAGGAGAGCTATGGGGTGAAAAAAGAAGAAACAATTGTAATAATCTGAACAATAAAGATTTATTAAATTAAAAAAAAAATTCTGATCATTTTGACTGGAGTGGCTCAGTGGTTGTCGACTTATGAACCAGGAGGTCACAGCCCAATTCCTGGTCAGGGAACATGCCCGGTTTGCAGGCTCAATCTCCAGCGGGGGGAGTGCAGGAGGTAGCCAATCATTTATTCTCTTTCATCAGTGATGTTTATATCTCTTTCTCCCTCTCCTTCAGATCATATCGGTGTTTCTCAAATGATCTGTGGTAAACTACATTTCTTAATTAATAGTCTAACATAGACGAATACTTTTGTAAAATACAAAAGCAATTACTAGGAAAAAAGCAAAATAGTAATTAGAGAAACAAAGGCCAAAATATAAGCACAAGTTTTGCAGTATTAGATTTAATAGATCTCTATCCACTTGCTATAAAAATTTCTAAATTTTATTCTTTATTTTCTATATGTACTTATTTTATCACAGTCTGGTTAACAGATTTTGATCAGCACTGGTACAGAGACCCACTGAAGGGCACTGCACTAAAAGATCTTTCTTCAATTTAATGGACTGTGGACAGTGAAATGAATTTAGTAATAAGAAATGCTTATCAGTTCTTTTACCGTCCGGCTTCATACAGTCATATTACAATCACTGTTATTTGGAATCTTGAACTTTACTGTTATTACTAAATGTAAAAAAATTTGCTTTAAGAAAATCTTACTTTTCTTTTTTTTTTTTTGCCGTAACCGGTTTGGCTCAGTGGTAGAGCATCAGTCTGCGGACTGAAAGGTCCTGGGTTCGATTCCGGTCAAGGGCATGTACCTTGGTTGCGGGCAAATCCCCAGTAAGGGCTGTGCAAGAGGCAACTCGTCGATGTCTCTCTCTCATCAACGTTTCTAACTCTCTCTCTCTCCCCCTTCCACTCTGTAAAAAATCAATAAAATATATTTAATAAAAAAAAAATCTTTTAAGCTTTTTCTTAATGGTTTTCTAACAGTAACATGTACTACTTCTCAATTACTCAATATACTATACTACAGGAATAAGATATGTTAAACAGACTTTTGCAAGTCAGGTTTTCAGAAAGCCTATCTTTATACAATCTTCCTAAAGAAAAGATTTGATGGTATTTAAGAATTACACTAGTAACCTTTTTTATGATATTTTTATTTTATTTTTAATATATTTTACTTATTTTTTATAGAGAGGGATAGAAAGCTAGAAACATCGATGAGAGAGAAACATCGATCAGCTGCCTCCTGCACACTTCCCACTGGGGATGTGCCCACAACCAATGTACATGCCCTTGACTGGAATCGAACCTGGGACCCCTCAATCCACAGGCCGACGCTCTATCCACTAAGCCAAACCGGTATCAGCTCTTTTATGACATTTTAAAGTGCCAGCAACTAAACCAATTAAATCAGAAAGGAGATGGCTTATAGGCAAATTGCCTGAAAGTAAAATGATTCATAAAATATAAACCAAAAATTTGGTTTAGACAGTGGTTGGCAAACTCATTAGTCAACAGAGCCAAATATCAACAGTACAATGATTGAAATGTCTTTTGAGAGCCAACTTAAAAAAAAAAAAAAAAAAATTTTTCTAACACCATTTCGTGGTATTTTGTAGAAGAGCCACATTCAAGGGGCCAAAGAGCCACATGTGGCTCGCGAGTCGCAGTTTACCCACCACGGGTTTAGGGATGAACAAAATAGAAAAGAAATAACTCATAGACACAGACTTCTTTATAATCCAAGAAAGATAATCAACAGTGTAGTGATTGTGGAAAGTATGGCAGGAAGTCGAGGAAGGTATAGAGAGGGATAAATGAAAATAGGGGTAAATAAAAATAAAAAGGAAAATAATTTTTAAAAATTGGATGAAACCCATCATCTTTACAAATGATATTTGCAACCTGCAATAGAAGATAAAAACTCCACTTACCACAGGATTAGGTTTGGGAGTATATGTCCGTGCAGGTTTAATTCCAGTGAGCAGTTTGCCCTTCACAGTAGTAGATGAAACTTCTGGCTGAGGCAACAACAATGGTTTCGTAGGCTCAATGACAGAAGGCGTTGGGATATAAACTGGTTCTGGATCTACTTCACCTTCTACCTTCACCCATAATGGATAATGTCGAACAGGCTGTTCAGGCTCTGTTTCACATATAGCTTAACAAAAGGAAGCATAAGGTTTTATTTAAAATAAAAAAAATATATATATATATATTTATTTCAGAGAGGAATGAAAAGGGAGAGATAGAAACATTAATGATGAGAGAGAATCATTGATAGTCTGCCTTCTGCACATCCTCCTACTGGGTATTGAGCCCACAACCTGGGTATGTGCCCTTGACCAGAATCGAACCCAGGACCTTTCAGTCCACAGGCCAATGCTCTATCCACTGAGCCAAATCGGTTAGAGCAGTAAGCATCTAAAATCTTAGATATCTTTGGCAACAAAAGTTCAATGAGGCATTGCCAGTGTAAAATATGTTCCCCCTCATAAAAAGCACTTAACTCATTAAAACAAACAGCCCTAGCCAGTTTGGCTCAATGGATAGAGCATCAACCTGTAGACTGAAGGGTCCAGACTTGATTCTGGTCAAGGACACATGCCCAGGTTGCAGGTTTGATCCCCAGTAGGAGGTGTGCAGGAGGCAGCTAATCAATGATTATCTCATCTATCATGTTTCTCTCTTTCTCTCCCTCTCTCTGAAATAAGAATATATATATTTTTTAAAGTCAAATAGATACCCCCTAAAAAACCTTTATTTGCCCTCATGCACCTTAATCTAGTCATCATTTAACAAAATATGTGTTGAATATTATAAATCAGATGCTGTTTTATGCACCAAATGAATACAACTTTGAATAAAACAAAGTACTTGCCCTAACAGTTATAATTCAGTAGGAGAAGACGAATTGACAAACATTTAATATCAAATCATAAGTGCCATATAGAAAAATGTAGCAAGTTAAGGAATGAGGAGTTAATAGGAGATGTTATTATATTTAGCCAAGTCAGAAAAAGCCTTCTTTATAATCCAAGAAAGATAATCATTACATACTACACTTTTTTAAAATCTTTTTTCTTAATGTATTTTTTATTGATTTTTTACAGAGAGGAAGGGAGAGAGAGAGAGAGCTAGAAATGTCGGATGAGAGAGAAACATCGACCAGCTGCCTCCTGCACACCCCCCACCAGGGATGTACCCGCAACCAATGTACATGCCCTTGACCGGAATTGAACCCGGTACCTTTCAGTCTGCAAACCGACGCTCAACCGCTGAGCCAAACCAGTTTTGGCCACTTTTAAAAATCTTACAACAAATATTTATTGATCTTACTATGTTCATACTCTGTGAATTTAATTATGTTTTAACTCATTGAACTGTCACAGCAGTCCTTGAGATATTATTATTCCCATTTTGCAGAAGCTGAGATTCACTACAGGAAGAGACAGATCAAGGATAAAACCCAGTCAATCTGGTTCCAGAAACTGAGCTTTCTATTGCCTTCGATATTAAACTGTATTCAAAAGATAGCCTGGCCCTAGCCAGTTTGCTCAGTGCTTAAAGTGTGGGCCCCCATGAACTAAAGGTCGTGGATTCAATTCCAATCAAGGGCACATACCTGGGTTGCAGGTTCGATACCCGGTCCAGTCAGGGCATGTGCAGGAGGCAACCAATCAATATGTCTCTTTCACATCGATGTTATACTCTCTCTCTGTGTGTCTCTCCCTCTCCCTTCCACTCTTTCAAAAAATAAATGGGGGGAAAAAATTCTCAGGCCCAAGACAGTTTTGTTCAGTGGATAGAGCATCGGCCTGAGAACTGAAAGTCCCAGATTCAATTCCAGTTAAGGGCACATGCCAGGGCTGTGAGCTTGATCTCCAGTGGGGGACTTGCAGAAGGCAGCTGATCCATGATTCTCTTTCATCGTGGATGTTTCTATCTCTCTCCCTCTTCCTTCCCTCTGAAATCAATAAAAATATATTAAAAAAAAAAAATATATATATATATATATATTCCCCCCCCCCCCCCTCAGGTGAGAATTAACAAAAAGAAAGCCTGAATTCAGCATAGGAGAAAAAAAAAATCAATAAAAAGGCAATGAAACCCAAGAGAGAGAAAATCATACTATCAAGAAGTTCTACACAAAGAAAAACAAAATGAGGATCTAGGTTAAGAGGCTTTATTATTTAGGCAAACTATCCCAGAAAAAAGACAACTACAGAGGAGCAAACATTGTATTTTGCATTTTAATAGTCAATCCTCAGAGAGGATATAGCTGGTTCTAAGCCAAAGATCCAAAAATCTTTGCCTAAAATTATATAATATGTGAATGACCAGCATTCCCAGTTACTTCAAATAATCCTATATAATAAAGGCCTAATATACAAATTGATCGATCAGCAGAACTAGTGGTTGGCAGGGGGCAGGGCAGGCAAGCAGGTGGCACCAGGCCAGTCAAGATGAGTGCCAGCTGACAGCAGGAGGAGGGGTAATCAGGGGGTAGCACCTACCAGGTGCCACCCTCCAATCTGCCCCATCACCCCAAAGGTCACCTCCTACAGAAGAAGTTCAATCTCTCACTATAATGTGCACTGACCACCAGACCTATGGGGAGCGGGCCTAAGAGCAGTCTGGTCTTCCTCTGCAGGAGGCGACCAGGATGATCAGGGAAAGACACTGCCCCTATGACCCCCCTGCTCTGAGCCCCGGCCTCGCAGCCACCGGGTCCCACGACTGCTGAGCACACTGTTTGCCTGAGCCCCAGGCCTCGCAGCTGCCTGGGCCCACAGCTGCCTGCCTTCAGCCCTCACAGCCACCACGGCTTTGCCCGGAGGACAAAGAATGTCCAGAAGACATCCGCTCTAATTAGCATATTACCCTTTTATTAGTATAGAAGATAAACCTAAATAAAGCTGAGGGAGAGAATATAATGAATTATACTGATCATCTATATATAAAAAAAACACTGAGGTTGGAGTTCTAAGAGAAAGACACAGAAAAACAAAGTGTCAAAGGCATTCTGAGAGTCCACATAAAAGAATGATTCAAATTTCGCATACAAAAAAAGCCATCTTTTGTCATTGAAAAAAAGTGTGTATGTAGCATATATGCCATACAGAAAGAGCATTTAAGGATGGTAAGAATTTCTCAAAATTCTTATTAGATCATAGATCGGTATTAAAGAAATACTAATACTACTTGAAATAGATTTTCAAATAACCATACTTTTCTAAAAAATTATACTATACCGTTTTAAGTCTTATTACTCACTGTATTCCAGCTTCTTTCTCTTCTTTTTCTCTTTTAATTGTTCTTCCTCCTCTTTGACTCCCTCCACTTCTTCCCTTTGCTCATCTCCCAAAGTATCATAACATACTGTATCATGATGAGCAGTCTTCCTCTGCAAATGCTTAGTTTTGGATCCCCCTTTTACAAGTACAACTTTTCTTTTCAAACAAGTGCAGCCAAACATGCAGTCTGGTCGGCGGCAGTGAGCAGGCTGGCGCTTCTCCAAAGCTAGACTGGAACATATGCAACCCAATCGACAAAAATCATTGTTGCATGGAGGTGCCCGCTTCCTTATGATTGTGTGGATGGGTTTAGTTTTGAGAGATGCCTAAAGTGAAAGCAGAAAATTGTAAATCTACTAAATCATCCCCCAGGACCACCACCAACCTACAGTCATATGCTGGTCTGCCTTCTTCTGTTTGTGAGCACTCAGTACTACGAGTACAAGATTAGGGTCGATTCAAATGACAGGATATGAATTTAACAGAACTCAGAGCAATCTTCCATTCCAATGTATAGCACAGGCAAGCAAGAGAATATTTTAATTATGAGCCAAATTAGCAACAAAAATGAATTTATCATCAATAGAAATCACACATAATGTTCTAGGTCAGAGGTTGACAACTTAAGACGCAATGACCAAATCCAATTTGTTTCATAAATAAAGTTTCATTGGAACACAACCAGGCCTATTCATTTAAATAATGTCTATGGCACTACAACAGCAGGATTGAGAAACTACAAGCGAGTACATGGACCACAAAGCCTAAAATATATACTTTTTTAAAAAATAAAAATATAAAAATTATCTAATTTATGATAATACATAAAAAAGGAATAACATACCTGCATAAAAGTCTTTAGAAATGATAAATAATAAAGGACACTTTATTTAGTCCCAACAACTCCAGAAGAGTCACAGAATTTAAAAAGGGAAGATACAGAAATTTCATGACAAGAAAATTATCTTCATTTCCTTGGGTCATTTTACATTAACAGAAGCTAAGATAGGTGAAGCAGTAACAAATAACAATTCTTAATATAAAATTTTAGCCTGGGCTGGTGTGGTTCAGTTGGTTGGAGTGTTGTCCCCTGCAACAAAGCGTATGGTTTCGATTCCTAATCAGAGCACATACCCAGGCTTCAAGTTTGATCGCCAGTTGGCGCACCTATAGGAGGTAACCAATCAATGTTTCTCTCTCACCTCTCTCACCCCTCTCTCTCTCTCTCTCTGGTAACCAATGTTTCTCTCTCACCTCCCCCCCACCCCCTATTTCTCTCTCTCTCTTTCTAAAATCAATAAAATACATATCCTCAGGTGAAGAATAAAAAAATATGTTTTTTAAGACAAAAGCTTTTTCTGCATAGGTTTATAAATTTTTTTGGATTTAGGGGGATTTAGTACCTTTTAAGCAGAATTTTCAAAGCTATTTTAACAAGATCAGCAAATATACTTGCTCAGACACTAGAGAATAAAATTAGAGACTTTCAGAATGGTCAGTTGCCTTTATAAAGAAAAAGAATATTATCCAAAAACACAAATATACTGTTTCCTATGCAACAGGGATCTACACATAAGTATCTAGTTGATAAAAAAGAAAAGTGGAAGACGCCTCCTTGTCACTAAACTAAATGCCCAAGCCTCCTACTAAAAAACCCCATTCCTTTTATTAACGTAATTTTTTACAGTCAAGAATATGCTTCTGGAGAACAACAGATAACTTACTTGAGCTGTAAGCAGAGTTGTTAAAGATACATCTGCTCGCTCTTCGGTGATATAGGTCCTTGGTTTTCCTTCCCAAAGTGCACAGTCTTCCAGGTCCATTAGCTTCATTTGAGATTTAGACAAGCCTGGAGGGCGAGTTCCCTGTTGCTGCTGCTGCTGGTGGTGTGCCTGCCGCAAATTAATTTGCTTTGGGAATGTATTTTCATCTAAAGTTGGCACAACAAAGTTATTCTCCTGATTTTCTGAGATGGTGCCTGAAGAATTCTTGCTAACCTTATCTCCTGAAACAGTATGAGTGTGCTTCTGCTTTAGTGAAGCAGGGTGTGGCAAAATGGATTTATAAGATGATTTGTTTCGTCCACTGCAAGTTGCCTGTTTGTTTTGAGACTTTGCCTTTCGAGATGCAGGTGATACAGAATGAGGCTTTAGAGAATAAGAAGTGGAAGGGGAAGGGGTTGATTGCTTCTTTAGTACACTATCAAGTGTTCGTACGTAGCTTGTACTCTTAGTAGGAAGCTGGTATACGACAGGAGATGTGGGAGCATTAGAAGAGAAACCCATGCTTGTTTCCATCAGCTTGCCTTCGTTTTCCAAGTATTCATCCAGCTTATCACTGCAGAAAGCAGAACGGTTTTTCAGTGGACCTTCTGAATTTCCACCTAGAAATAAGAAGACATAGAGACTTGAAGAAATCTAGAACAGATCTTCAGATCTCTACAAAGAAAGGCCAGGAATCCCTCCTAAGAAGACAAAGATATAATATAAAACCAAGTAAAGAGATTGTCACACAAAAATTATATTAAAATCAAATCTCTAAAATTGAGAGGATCCAAGATGGCTATACAGGTAAACACCTAACTGCAGCCGCACACAACAATTTCAATAAAATACAACTAAAATATAAAATGGACATTGCCCAGAGCTACAGGAAAGTTGACTGACTGGAAATTCTACAACAAGAAGGAAAGAGAAAATCAGAAGGAAAATCAGAGGAGCTGTAAAAGCCTAAGGTACGGAGACATGTGTGCAGAGAGGACGGAGCCGGAGAGGAGGGGGAGGCTGAGAGCCTGGCTGGTGTTCCCTAGCGGAAAGGAGATAAAAGCAAAAGACACAAGAGAATATTAAAAGCAGCAAGAGAAAAACAGTTACCTACAAGAGAGCACCCATACGATTGTCAGCTGATTTCTCAACAGAAACCATGCAGGCCATACAGGAATGGCAAGAAATATTCAAGGTGATGAATAGCAAGAACATACAGCCAAAAATACTCTACCCAGCAAAGCTATCACTCAGAATCGAAGACCAGATAAAGAGCTTCACTAACAAAAAAAAGCTAAAGGGGTTCATCACCGCCAAATCAGAATTATATGAATTGCTGAAGGGGGTTCTTTAGGAAGAGGAAGAAGAAAAAGATAAAAATTATGAACAACAAATACGTAACTATCAACAAGTGAATCTAAAAACCAAGGGAATTTAAAAAAAAAAATCTGATGAACAATATTAACTGGTGAATATAATAGAATCAGAGATATGGAAGGGGAGTGAACTGACGATTCTCGGGGAAAAGGGGAGTGGGGGGTACGGGAAGAGACTGAACATAAACTGTGCACCTATGGATGAGGACAATGGGGGATGGGGAAAGGACAGAGGGTGGGGTGGGAACCTGGTGGAGGGGAGCAAAGGAGGGGGGGAATGAGGAACATTTGTAATAATATGAACAATAAAGATTTATTTTTTAAAAAAAAGAAAGAAAAGCTAAAAGAGAAGGAGAGAGAGAGAGAAGAGAAGAGAAGAGAAGAGAAGAGAAGAGAAGAGAAGAGAAGAGAAGAGAAGAGAAGAGAAGAGAAGAGAAGAGAAGAGAAGAGAAGAGAAGAACAAAAACTAAAGGAGTTCATCACCGCCAAACCATTAGTATATGAAATGCTGACAGGTATTCTTGAAGAAGATGAAGAAGGAGGAGGAGGAGGAGGAGGAGGAGGAGGAGGAGGAGGAGGAGGAGGAGGAGATAAAAATTATGAACAAATACATATCTATCAACATGTGAATCTAAAAGTTAAGTGAATTAGCCTAAGCCGGTTTAGCTCAGTGGTAGAGCGTCAGTCTGCAGACTGAAAGGTCCCAGGTTCGATTCCGGTCAAGGGCATGTACATTGGTTGCGGGCACATCCCCGGTAGGGGGTGTGCAGGGGGCGGCTTGTCGATGTTTCTCTCTCATCGACGTTTCTAGCTCTCTATATCTCTCTCCCTTCCTCCTCTCTGTGAAATATCAATAAAATATATTTAAAAAAAAAAAAAGTTAAGTGAATTAAAAATCTGAGGAACAGAATAAACTGGTGAATATAATAGAATCAAGGGCATAAAATGGTAGGGGATTGTTAATTCTCAGTGGAAAAGGGGTGTCTGAGTGGGGAGTATCGGAAGAGACTGGACAAAAATCATACACCTATAGATAAGGACAGTGAGGGGGATAAGGGTAGAGGGTGGGGTTGGAACCGGGTGGAGAAGAGCTATGGGGGAAAAAGAGCAACAACTGTAATAATCTGAACAATAAAGATTTATTTTAAAATAAAAGGTTACAGTATCACCCCGAGTACTGAAGAGTAGCAGTACCTGGTTTGATTCCTGGTCAAGGGCTCCTACCTATGTTGTAGGTTTGATCCCGAATCCCAGTTAGGCTGCATTCGGGAAGCAATTAATCAATATGTCTCTCTACATGGATGTTTATCTCCCTATCTCTCTTTCTCTCTCTCTCTTTCTCTCTCTCTCCCTAATCCCCTTCCTTACCTCCCTTCTATTCTTTCTAAAACATCAATGGAAAAAATAGCCGGGGGTGAGAATGAAACTTCCCCCTCCAAAAGAAAATTTAGTTTTTAAAGAATGAAAAAGGAAATTTGGTAGAGAGCACTGTTACAGCACTATAAAAAGATTCAAAGATAAAAAAACTATTTTGAACAAATAAATTTATCTGGTTAGAGTGTAAACTGCCAACTAGTGAATTGGGAAAAGAAAATCAATAGGGAATACAGTAAATATGTTTGGATTAGAAGTTTACTTTGAAGTATAATGCTATTAGGAATCATTATACATTCTGAAATATATAGTTCTGAAATAATGCTTGAAAATTATGCTTTTTGTAACTGTGAGAATAACAGAAAGAAAGAGCAGTTAAAGCCCTAACTGGTTTGGCTCAGTGGATAGAGCATCAGCCTGCGAACTGAAGGGTCCCAAGTTTGATTCCAATCAAGGGCATGCATCTTGATTGCGGGCACATCCCCAGAAGGAGGTGTGCAAGAGGCAGCTGATTAATGTTTCTCTCTCACTGATATTTCTAGCTTTCTATCCCTCTCCCTTCCTCTCTGTAAAAAAAAAAAAATCAATAAAATATATATATTTTTTTAAAAAGATGGAGGGAAGGAGGGAGGAAGGGAGGGAGGAGGAAAGGAGGCAAGAAAGGGCAGTTTAAAAAGGCTGCAAGTATTATTTAAGCCTGATGTGGTTAAGGACTGATCCCCAGGATCAGATTCATGGGAACAAGGAGAATAAACAAATATCAGCAAGACAATTATTTTCAATTTATTTTAAAGCATGAAGAGAGATGAAGAAAAATAACCAAGACTTACTTATAACAAAAGCTGTGCTTGCATGTTTACAAACATTATTTGTAGTTTTTTTTAAAAAGCTGATTACCTTCATTCCTAGATGCAGAAGCTCCATGAAACTTTCCCCTCCATCCCTTTATCTTGGTGAAGTCATTGGTCTTTCCTGTTCTAGATACAAAGGGAAATCCAGCATCTATAAAAGAAAAAATAAAAGAGATGAAAAATATTAGTAAGTCAATATTTAATATCTAATTATTAAGACTTTATATTAAAAGTATAAATCATTAAGACTATGCCATTAGACAAAAAATCTATCCGAAACATACTTTGTCTCTAACAAAGGTATCTTTTCATTTCTATTCACAAATTTGTTTGACTTCATAAATGCAATGCACTCACCAGGAGAAGCAGGGTTGGTTCCTGTAAGGTTCCAGAAAGGAAAGCTAGTGGCTGGAGCCAAAGGTAGCTGTACTCCCAAGTATTTAAGATCAATACTCATTGTAGGATCCACTGAATTCAATTTCAAGCCCACTACAAGAGAAAAAGGGCCACAAATCATATTGGAGTTTTTTAACCTTTGGGGGTGGGGGGAAGTGTGAGGGGGAAATAAAGATAAAGAAGATAGTACAGAGTAAAATGATAAAATAAAAATGTTTAATGGCAAAGAGAGGTGACCACGTAATCTTCAACTCCTGGTATTATATATTTGTATAATCCTCCTCTCTTCTTGAGTGTAGGCAGGGCGTCTGATTTGTTTCCAAGCAATGATGTGCCAAAGGGATGAGATATACATGATTATATATATGTAATAAAAGAAGAATAAATGGATCACCCATTTTGCTAGAACTGCAAGGATATAAATTCTGCCCAACAACCTCAGGAAAACTGGAAAAATCCCTCTCCAGTCAAGCCTCTAACGAGAAACCAGGCCTAATTTTTTATTATAATCTTGTGAGACCCTAAGCAGAGGACCCTGTTAAGCCATGCCAGATTTCTGACCTACTGAAACTCTGAGATAATAAACATATTGTTTTAAGGTGCTAAGTTTATGGTAATTTGCTAAGCAATAATAGATAACTAATACACAAATATAGCAGAATTCAGATCTTTTGTGCTTTTAACCTTCTGAGTCCAGATACTTTCTAGGACCTCTAATACAAACTTTCCAGAGACAGAGCTTATTCCCTATTATGGCTACTAATTTTCTAGTTATTATTAATTATATTTATATTTAATTGAGACTACAGATATTGTAACTTATTTATAGGTTAACAGGCAATCTTTTGGTAGTTATTTTACATATACTTTTACCCATTTTTGCTTAATAATTTACATCTAAGATTTGTCCATGTTGACACATTTATCTCTCAATCATTTATTTTCACTGTTATACACTACTCCAGATTACAAAATATACTCCAATTTATTCACCATTCTTCTGTCAATGAGATAGTTGTTTCCTATTTTTAACTATTATAAACAATGCTACAGTATAATTGTATATCTTCTACAAGGATGTACATCACACATGTGACCATGTATGAAAGCTTTTCTCTAATGTATTTAGCTGTTCCTTATGCCATTTTACCAGAAGAAGAGATGCTATGTAATAGCATAAATTGGTCTTTCAATTGTATTAAATGTTTGGCATATTTGTTGTTGCCCAATATATTTTCAACACCTTTCCTATACAGCTGCTCCTTTTCCCCACTATAACTCCTACCTCTTTAAGGCAGGTATTAGAAAAACTACTTTCCAACTTCTCTCTCTTTAAAAAATATATTTTTATTGATTTCAGAGAGAGAAAGGGAGAAACAGAAACATCAATGATGAGAGCCTTCTGCACACCCCCTATTGGAGATCAGCATGCAACCCAGGCATGTGCCCTGACTGGGAATCGAACCAGTGACCTCCTGGTTCATAGGTCGACATTCAACCATTCAGCCATGGGCCTTTCCAACTTCTCATGAAGTTTATGTGCAGACATAAGACATGGGTTTTGTTTTTTTAAAAAATATATTTTATTGATTTTGTACAGAGAGGAAGGGAGAGAGATAGAGTTAGAAACATCAATGAGAGAGAGTCATCGATCAGCTGCCTCTTGCACACCCCCTACTGGGGATATGCCCACAACCAAGGTACATACCCTTGACCGGAATCGAACCCGGGACCTTTCAGTCCCCAAGCCGACGCTCTATCCATTGAGCCAAACCGGTCCTGGCAAGACATGGGTTTTGCTAATCAGATGCATCCATAAAAGACTTCAATTTAGAAGAGAGGACCATAAGGGAAGAAATACTGTGTATAATTATGTAAATAAGAGTGACAGTTTTTAGCCAAAGAAAAACTTTTAGAGATAAAAGTAACCAAGATCCTAGCTGTGTTCAGTATCCACATTGACAATGGTGGTGACTGTCCAATGTTGTGAGACTGCTTGTGTGAGCAGACTGGGAATGTAATTTGAGTATTTTTCTCAACTACATATTCGTACAATCTGTTTCTCTGGCCTCTCAGGAGATTCTGTAAGTTATCTGATATTCTTTAATAAATTCATATTCTATACCGTTTTTATGGATTGGAGGAATCAAAATCATTATAATGTCCATACTACCCAAAGCAATCTATAGATAAATTCAATGCAATCCCCATTAAAATACAATGGCATATTTCACAGACCTAGAACAACTCTCCAAAAATTCATATGGAGTAAAAAAAAGACTCCGAATAGCCACTGCAATCCTGAGAAAGAAGAACAAAGTTGGAAGGATCACAATACCAGATATCAAGCTATATTATGCTGAAAGCCAATTCCAGCATGTCATAATTTCAAGAGTTTCATCAAAAGGTTGATGGGCCGGGACCGGTTTGTCTCAATGGATAGAGCGTCGGCTTGGGGACTGAAGGGTCCCAGGTTCGATTCCGGTCAAGGGCATGTACCTTGGTTGTGGGCACATCCTCAGTAGGGGGTGTGCAAGAGGCAGCTGATCGATGACTCTCTCTCATTGATGTTTCTAACTCTCTCTCTCTCTCCCTTCCTCTCTGTACAAAATCAATAAAAAATATATTTAAAAAAAAAAAAAAGGTTGATGGAATTTGGGGACTCAACAAGGGCTGATTACATATGTTACTGCTTGTTGGAAATGGCTAAAGGCATTTCCCCAAACCTGAAAAGGATGCATTAAATTGATTGCTTGCTGTCAAACAGCTCAGGACATCTTAATCTACATGTTATTGCCTCCTATTGGCCAAACACCTGAACAGCTATACGTTATCCCAATCTGACAATGGACACTGTAAACAAAATCCTACTCTTTGAAGTGTATATCTCTACCTTGCCTTAGACAAATTGTGTTATTAAAAAGAAAGGGGCCCTGAGACAAGGAGAACCGGTTTGGCTCAGTGGATAAAGCGTCGGCTTGGGGACTGAAGGGTCCCGGATTCGATTCCAGTCAAGGGCATGTACATTGGTTGCGGGCACATCCCCAGTAGGGGGTGTGTAAGAGGCAGCTGGTCGATGTTTCTCTCTCATCGACATTTCTAGCTCTCTATCCCTCTTCCTTCCTCTCTCTGGAAAATCAATAAAATATACTTTAAAAAAAATTTTTTTTAATGTACCCACACAACCAAGTTGATAGGCAGGCAAAATCTATACCCATACAATTAATTTAGAAACTGTTTTTCCTACATATTTTCTTTTCTCCATTAACTTGTATTTGGAACTGCTACCTTCTCCCAAAAGTGATATCCACTCCTAAAAACTAAAAACAAAAAAAATCAAATTTATTTTAAATATACACATTAACTTTCTTAAAACCCTAAAAGTAGAGGTCAATGACATAAAAACACTCTTCAAAGTAATTCTCAATTTAGCTTATCGAGGCTATCCTAAAATGTTTGTTCTGCAAAAAATTCGTTCCCCAAGTAACATATACGAGAGACCTAAACTTAGTTGGTTTCATATGAATAACTTTAGCTTACAGAAAATAAGACAGTTAAATAATTCACAGAAAGCATATCCCCAATAAAATCCTTTCCACATATAAGTTTATTTTTTTTTAAATATTTTATTGATTTTTAACAGAGAGGAAGGGAGAGAGATAGAGAGCTAGAAACGTCGATGAGAGAGAAACATCGACCAGCTGCCTCCTGCACACCCCCTGCTGGGAATGTGCCCGCAACCAATGTACATGCCCTTGACCGGAATCGAACCTGGGACCTTTCAGTCCGCAGACCGATGCTCTACCGCTGAGCCAAACCGGTTTCGGCTCCACATATAACAGTTTAAACAAAATTATACTCCTAAATGGTTTTGACTTTTGGCATTTTAGCAGACACTTCATAAAGATATATTATCACACCATTGCAAAAAAAAAAAAATCCCTATAAAGATAGAAGTGAGAAAAATATCTTTAGATTCAAAGTCAGGTAAGAATAAACTATAAAACTGAAGCCTCTAGCTAAATCTCCTGAAATATAAAGCATCCACAAAAACACACTAAAGGAAAAAAAACATCTATGTAAATAGCCAACGAAGAACAGAAAAGAGATACATATATAAAAAAAAAAAACTCCAGCTAATTATTTAACACTATATTCAGAATATTTTTCATGTTTTTTAAACTGATTTCAGAGAGAGAAAGGGAGAGGGAGAGATACAAACATCAACGATGAGAATTATTGATCAGATGTGTCCTGTTTGCCCCTCCTACTGGGGATCAAGCCCGCAACCTGGGCATGTATCCTGACAGAATTGAACCATGATCTCCTGGTTCAAGGTAAATGCTCAACCACCGACCCACACCAGAATATTTTTTAATAACTAAAAAGAGGCAGAGAGCTCTGAAAAGACTGTCATAAAGAAACTGAACATTAAGATTGATGAATCTATCCTATACGATAAAGAGCTAATATGCTAATTATACTGAATAGCAGGACAACCTTCCGATGAAGCCAGGGCTGCAAGGGCCAGCCGGGGCTACGAGGGGCTACAAGGGGCTAGGAGGGCCAAGCCTCTTGCACGTATTTCCTGCATTGGGTCTCTATTATTGATATAAATAAGTGCATAAATAAAAAATGGAGGAGAAAAAACAAATCTCTGGTACAGAAGAATTCCAAATAATTTATGCAGATACTTCACACTCAAGAAAGTGGAGCAAACTTCCTACTCAGTAACTTCCTTCCAAAGAGTACAGCATGGAAAAGAACAGTGACAAAAATCATGTCGATAATATGTAACTTTCATATAATGGTACTTTATCTCTGTGGTCTTCCTCTCCCAAACATATTACCCAGTCTAACCATGAAATATCAGACAGATCCCAACTGAAGAACATTCTATAAAGTATGAATTTTAGTTTAATAATAGTATCAATACTGGCTAATTCTAACAAATGTACTACTACACTAATATTAGATGTTAATAATAGAGGAAACTGTAGAGTACAAGGAAACTCCCTGTTATCTATGTTCCCAATTTTTCTGCAAATCTAAAACTTACCTAAAATAAAAGGTTTATTTACAAATTGACATAGAATTGACTTAGTAGCAATGAAATAGAAATGCTTTAACAAAAAATACTTTAAAAAAATATATATTTTATTGAATTTTTACAGAGAGGAAGGGAGAGAGATAGAGAGCTAGAAACATCAATGAGAGAGAAACATCGACCAGCTGCCTCTTGCACACCACCTACCGAGGATGTGCTGCAACCAGTGTACATATCCTTGACCGGAATCGAACCTGGGACCTTTCAGTCCGCAGACCGACGCTCTACCACTGAGCCAAACCGGTTTGGGCACAAAAAATACTTTTAACGTTTAAAAAACATTGTATATAGGTTGATAAACTAAAACATAAATCTCAATTTGTATGTAGTAAAAAAAAAAATTAAGAAACAGAAAAATATAGTACTGTGAAAAACTACTTTTAAGAGCCTTATTTTAGGGGGGGGGGCAATGTTAAAATATGTACACAGATAATTTAAAAATAAAAGAGCCTTGTTTTATAAACTGATGAACAAAATAGATCCAGAGATCTAGAACCATGAACAAACTGATGAATTTCAGAGGGAAGGTAGGGGGTGGGGGGAGTGTGTGGAGGGGGGATTTACCAGTGAACTTATATGCATACTAGAGGTCTGCTGCATGAATTCATGCACGGATGGGGTCCCTCGGCCTGGCCAGGAAAATCAAGGGTATCTTGCCCAGTCCATATTGAGGCCAGCGCGGGGGAAGAACCGCAGGAGGTTGGCTGGACACAAGAGGCTGGCTGAGGGAATGTACTGACCACCATGTGACAGCTCCTATGTTGAGCATCTACCCCCTGATGGTCAGTATTCATAATAGCTAATGGCCAGTCATTTGTTCATAATGGTTGCTTAGGCTTTTATATATATAGATATGCATAGCCCACAGTCACAGACAATAGTGTGGCAAAGGCTTGGGAGGGGCAGGTGCAGGGATGATGGGGGAAATGGGGAAAACAAGAACAAAGACCCAAGCGAACATCTGTAATACTTACAATAATAAAGATAAAAAAAATTTTCTTTTACATTTTTTTATTAAATTATTACCTATGTACATATTTTAAGACTGTCCCCCCCCATACATACCCCCCCTCCCCAGAGTTTTGTGCCCATTGGTTGTATTTATATGCATGCATACAAGTCCTTCGGTTGATCTATTATCTCCCCCAGATTTCCCTACCCTCCCCACTGTAATTCGACAGTCTGCTTGTTGTAAAGATAAAGTTTTTAAAAATTAAAAAAAAAAACACCTTTATTTTAGCAACTACAATAAAAACATTTCCTCTGGCCCTGACTGGTTTGGCTCAGTGGATAAAGCGTCAGCCTATGAACTGAAGGCTTCCAGGTTCGATTCCGATCAAGGGCATGTATCTTGATTACAAGGCACATCCCTGGTGGGGGTTGTGCAGGAGGCAGCTGATCGATGTTTCTCTCTCATCAATGTTTCTGGCTCCCTATCCCTCTCCCTTCCTCTTTATAAAAAAAAAATCAATAAAATATATATTACAAAAAAAAAAAAAAATTTCCTCTGGCTTAATTTACATTTCTTCCACAATTTCAAAGCAACCTCCAAAAGCTTTGCAAGATTATCAAGCTTTTTTCAGCTCAAAAATATTTTTAAATGTTCAATTTCTAAATTAAACTTTTCAGCTAGTAGAAAAGCAAGTGCACGAAATTTGTGCAAGAGTAAGCCTTCCTTCCCCTGGCTGCCAGTACTTTCCCTCAGGCACCCAGGACCAGGTTAATTTCACTTTATTTATGTTTCCTGCTTAGTTTCCATAACCATTTGACTTTGAAGCTCCTTTACACAAAGGAAAAAATTAATAGATTTGACTCAAATGTAAAAGAAATGGAAAAAACTCAAATTTTAGCCAACAAGGAAATAATAGGCAAACAAACCAAAGCAAAACACTGGCAGGGATCATTGACATATTCAACTCTAGAGCTAAGACAAAATCATATATTGAAATTAGGTTAAAAAACACAATATAAATGTTATAACATTTATACATTATCAGACTATATAACTAACAAAAAGTGTAAGTGGGATGGGAAATAAACTTAAAGGGCAAGTTAACTGATCAGAGAAAGAGAATATTTAGAGAAAATAGCAGAAGTGAAAGCTGACAATAAACAATAGCATATGTTATTATCAGTCAAGCCTAACATGATATGACTGTGACTGTCCATTAAAATCCATAATACTCAGTCCACTTGCATTGAGATCTGCATTTTTAAAAAATATATATTTTACTGATTTTTTACCGAGAGGAAGAGAGAGGGATAGAGAGAAACATAGAGAGAAATCATAGATCAGCTGCCTCTTGCACACCCCCTACTGGGGATTTGCCCGCAACCAATGTACATGCCCTTGACCGAAATTGAACCTGAGAACCTTCAGTCCACAGGCCGACGCTCTATCCACTGAGCAAAACCGGCTTCGGCGAGATCTGCACATTTTAATATCACATTATCAAAACAAGTGAAGCAAAAGTTCTTCAAGTATTACCATTAGATTTAGAAATAAAATGATCATTTTATATGACAACATTCTGTTTGTCTGCAGGTAATGCTTACACTCTCAAATAAATGATCTACCATATAAAATAAATCAGTCAGACAGTGCTTTGAAAAGAAAATGGACTAACAATCAAAAACTCAATAAACTACTCCAAGAAGCATACCTTAAACTAAAGATATAAGAAACTACAAATTGGAACATGGCTTATAATCTTTTATTTACATTTCAAATAGAAAAGTCAGTAGTTACTACAACAGCAATAAGTGGAATAGATTTCACAATTTTAGAAAAAGGATTTACCGGTAGCAATATAATCAAGGCTAATTTATTCCATTACAACAAAACAGAGATACCTCCCCACCCAAAAAAAAAAAACCTCACAAAAAACAAAAGCAGACAAAACTTAAAAGATGAGACATAGGGAGGAAAATACTGTGTAATAAGAAAGCCAAGAGAAAACACAACTTTCTTTAAGATACATTTTTTAACACATACAATAGTTTCACAAAGATGAGACAGTGTCTACAGAATGGGATTTCTCTTGGGATATAAAAAACCTAGAAATGTTTTTATGTTAAGTTAGGAAATCATGGAGGGAGAAAAGAGAAACATGCAAGCTAAAAGAGGCACCAAAAATAAATGAAATCAAGGATGCGGGGAAAGGAGGTAAAACAGAAAAAAGAGGAAGGAGAAACAGAAAGGGCATGAGAGGAGAAAGCAAGTGGGGGGAAAAAGGAGAAAGAAAACACATTATTTTATTTTTTTAGAAAATGCTAGAGGCCTGGTGCACAAAATTCATGCACAGGTCAAGTCCCTAGGCCTGGCCAGTGATCAGGGCCTTCCTTCCCCTGGCTGCAGGCTGCTGGCCGGGGCCTTACTTCCTTCCATGCTGCCCTTTGTGGTCAGCAAATATCATAGTGAGAGGTTGAACTCCAAGTCAGTCAAACTCCCAAAGGGACAATTTGCATATTAGCCTTTTATTATATATAGAAGAATTACCTTCTTGAAGACCAGGATGTATCACTTGCTTATGCCTCAAGGCTTTCAAATCTTCTATCAATTCTTTTTCCAACTGGGAAATTCTTGCTCTACAACCTATTCAGAAAACAAACGATGAAGTAGAATAGTATGTACTACAGAAAAATGTATGTACTACAGAAAAATGAACATTGCATCTTTCATTTCGAGAGCCAAACCCCAAATATATCTCTCTTTTTATGTTATTATATAATACCTGGGTCATTTGTGGTTGATGCCTGAAGATTACAGGGCTCTTCTGTTGTCCCATCAACTGCATGAATGTCTAGAGCTTCCTATATATAAAACAAAAATGTAGCTCATATCACTTCTAAAAGTTTAAAAATAAACCAGAAACATTTTTCATTTTGATACATTTTGATATTTTTTAAATGTTCTACATTATATCACTTTAATCAGAAGAACAAAAAAAAGCAAATTATCTTAATATATTCAACTAACCGATCTAAACTATATTATACCAATTTGCATAAAGATTTTTTAAAGTTTACATAAAGATAGGCTATATAAAAATAGCTTAAGACCAGTAGAAAGAATTCAACCACTGTATAGCCAATTTAGAACTATATATTTGGCTTCTATAAAAATCTAAACGAAAAAAATCTAGTTAAAAAGTAGGAATAAAATAAAGAAACCATTGATGTGTAAAACAGCATAATTAATAAAACCACTAATATCTGGTTCTTCAATGGCACTCTGCTGTTCCTGATAAAAATCAGGGGATGGTCCTGGCAAGGATAGCTCAGTTAGAGCATCGCCCCAGACACCGAAGGATCTTGGGTTCAATTACTGGTCAAGGGCACATACTTGGGTTCCAGGTTTGATCCCCGTCCTGGTTGAAACCCATGTGTGAGGCAACAATGGATATATCTTTCTCACATTGAAGTTTCCCTCTCTCTCTCCCTTTCTTTCCCTCTCTCCCCCTCCCTCTCCCTCTCCCTCTCTTTCTCTCTATTCCCCTCCCTCCCTCCCTCTCTTCTCTCTCTTTCCTATCCTCCTCTTTCCCGCCCCCTTCCACTCTCTCTTAAAAAGAAATAAATGGAAAAAGTATCCTCAGGTGAAGGACTAACAACAATAACAAAACAACAACAACAAATGCAAAAAAACAATCTGGGGAGTCCAGCCAGTGGTTGAACTTTGACCTATGGACCAAGAGATCAGGGCATATGCCTGGGTTGCGGCTTGATCCTGAGAGAAGGGTGTGAGGAGGCAGCCAATCAACGATTCTCTCTAATCACTGATATTTTTTTTTTATATATATTTTATTGAGAGAGGAAGGGAGATAGAGAGTTAGAAACATCGATGAGAGTCATTGATCAGCTGCCTCTTGCACACCCCCTACTGGGGATATGCCCGCAACCAAGGTATATGCTCTTGACCGGAATCGAACCTGGGACCCTTCAGTCCCCAAGCCGACGCTCTATCCATTGAGCCAAACCGGTCCCGGCTAATCACTGATATTTCTATCTCTGTCTCCCTTCTTCTGAAATCAATAAAAAAAAAAAAAAAAAAATTTTAAATCAGGGGATAAGGTGTCCCAAAAAAAGTTAGTAAACTTTTCATGTACTTATGTCTTTTTAAAATCCATAATAATGAAAAATCCAGTTAAGATCTGAAGATTTTTTAAATTCCAGCTACACTGCACAAAAAGCATGAATTCATATCAAAGCAGACATAATTTTCTTAATCTTTACTGTTGAAAGCATTACAGATGTCCCATTTCCCCCCCATTGACCTTGTCTAGCCCACACTAGCCTCCTGCTCCCAGGCCTTCACCACACTATTATCTGTGTCTATAGGTTATGCATATCTCTATATAATATATAAAAGCCTAAGCAACCATCGCAACTGAAACAACCAAACGAATGAGCAGGCTGTGTGGGCAACCAGACTGGCAGGGGGGTTAATGAGGGACGGCCAACGACTGAGCAGTGGGTTGTGTGGGCGACCAGGCCGGCAGGGAGGTTAGTGAGGGCTCACCAAATGACTGAGCAGCTGGCTGTGTGGGGTCACCAGGCTGGCAGGGGGGTTAGTAAGGACTGACCAAACGACTGAGCAGCGGGCTACATGGGGTAACCAGCCAGCAGTGGGGTAGGAGAGGCATTAAGGGGTGACCAAGCCAGCAGAGGGGGACAGTGAGGGGCAACCAGGCTGATGGGGTGGGGGGTGGGCAGTTGGGGGTAACCAGGCTAGCGGGGGGTGGGGGTGGAAGTTGGGGGAGAGCAGGCTATCAGGGGGACAGATAGGGGTGATCAGGGAGGCAGGCAGGTGAGCAGTTAGGAGCCAGTGGTCCCAGACTGTTAGAGGGATGGTCCCGGATTGAAGAGGGTGCAGGCTGGACTGAGGGGACACCCCTCCCCCACCACGCCATGCACAAATTTTGTGCACCAGGCCTCTAGTAAGCATATAAATTATTTGGCTAATCTCTTCCCACCCACATACAACATGTGCCTTCCCTTTAACATTCAAAAGACAGACATAAATTGTTAAGTTCATTCACACAAAATTTTGTGATATCTATTAACTAAACCAAACATTTTGGAGACTCTCAGTTCCCTGTGCACACACCCTCCTCACATAATGGATGCATTCACAAAAACTAGATTGTAAATTGGTTATCAGCTAGATATATAACTCAATAATAATTATTTGGCCTTAGAAACAATGCTGAAATAACCATCTTACCTTTGATTCAAAGGAAACAAAGAGAACACCATCCACATCTTCCAGATCAGGCTTCACTTCTGGAAAGGTACTCCCAGGGCCCATAGGAATGCTCTTTGTAGAAGTTAAAGATTTTCCCGTGTTTTTAGGTGGTCGTCCTGCCTTAGAGAGTTTCAATTTTCGTGGCCTTCCTCTTTTACCACTGACATTTGTAGGAGCATTCTGATTAGTATTCATGGTTTTGGAAGCTGCAGAAATCTTAAGCATAGTTGTTTTCTTTCTGCCCAAGTCCTCTTTTGCTAAAATTGAGTCCCCAGCTGGACTCTTTGAACTGTCAAGTATTCTTTCTGTATTCATGCAGTCAGAAATATCAGGATATTTCCATTGAGGCTCTTTAAGTAAAGGATATTTTTGTACCACTCTGAGATCTGGTGAATATTTTCTTAGATCATTTTCTGATTCCTTGTCTAAACAGAAGCCAGCCTCATTGGAATTTTCACTGTATGTAGGCAAATAGTCTAATTCTGTCAACATAGATTTATCCTTCCGAGATGTAGAAAGCATGTTATCAGGGAGCTCAGAAATCTTCACTGTGTTTTTGGTGACGGCACAGGGCTCCAGACAAACTACTGGCATCTTTCCAGCGTCTAATTTGAACGTTTTAGCTTTAGCAACACCTGATGGGCTATTTGGTAGCCATTTAGAAGACAGATGGTCAACTTCTAGGTTATCAATTTTATTGTGCCTCTTTAGCTGTTTCTCTAGTATAGGATCATCATCACTGTTTGAGTATACATCTGTTTCCTCATCCGTCTCTTCTTGTTTCACAGTGACCCCTTCTGGAAACTCACCAAGGTCATAGTCGTAATCATCTAGAGGTTCCTCTTTAATGACAACATTGAAGTTTCTATTTGGGTCTACTGGTGATGCTACATGGGTACCATCTTCAAAATTGTTGGCAACATGTCTGGAGAGACAGGAAAGGAAGGGTTGAAAAGGACATAAGACCTCCATAAATAAAACTCTGGAGAGAAAAGGTTTTTGAAAAACAACATCAGATTTTGTAAGAGAAACACTTTGTAGAGCATAAGGTTTGCAAAAGCACTTTATCAGCATGACACTTTTATATTTTCTGTCAATTTTTTCACAGAAGCAGCTACACTAATAAAAGAGAAAGATGCAAATTGACTGTACCTTCACATCACCCAACAGCCAATCAGGAGTGAGTAGCAAATTAACCAAACAAAGATGTTGGGTTAATTTGCATATGCAGGCACTGAGTGGCCAGGGTGGGACACTTACATTCCAGACTGCCCTAGCCACTCCAGGCCTCTGGGCACCATGGGAAGGTGGAAAGACAATTCCAGGCCGGAGCTAAGGTTGTGCCGGCAGCTGGGGGAAGGAAGGCCCATTCTTGCATGAATCTTCGAGAATCTGGCCTCTACTCCTATATAATAAAAGGGTAATATGCGCAGAAATCGGTTTGGCTCAGTGGAAGAGTGTCGGTCTGTGGACTGAAAGATCCCGGGTTCGATTCTGGTCAAGGGCATGTACCTTGGTTGCTGGCACATGTACCTTGGTAGGGGATGTGCAAGAGGCAGCTGATCGTTCTCTCTCTCTCATCAACGTTTCTAGCTCTCTATCTCTCTCCCTTCCTCTCTGTAAAAAAAATCAATTATATATATTTATATATAAATTTTAAAAAGGGTAATATGCAAACTGACTGAACAGTGGAACGACCTGTCGCATGATGTGCACTGACCACCAGGGGCAGATGCTCAAAGCAGGAGCTGCCCCCTGGTGGTCAACCACAAGCTGGGCTGCTCAGCCACAAGCCGGGCTGGCAGCTGGCAAGCACAGCAGCCTCTCATCTCCATTGCAGCACTAAGGAGCAGCAAGCAGGCAGGGGGTAAAGAGCGAGAGATCCTAGACTATGAGAGAGATACCCATTAAGGGCTCCCAAACTGCGATGGTGCAGGCTAGACTGAGGGACCCCTCCACCGCAGTGCATGAATTTTGTGCACTGGGCCTCTAGTATATATAATAACAAAGTTTTGATTTGGTTTGTTTTTTATATATATGTATATGTATACACACACACACACACACACACACACACACACACACGTTTTTAAAAATTAATTCCAAAGAGAGAAAGAAAATGATGAAAGAAAATCAACTGGCTTCCACTGGGAATAAAGCCCTGAAAACCTGGCATAAAACGTGGGCACATGCCCCAAACAAGAATCAAACCGTGACCTCATGGTTAATGAGTAGATGCTCAACAACAAGCCATACCAGCTGGGCATAAAGAGCAAAGGTTTAACAAACAACCCTCTTATCACTAAATCAAAGCATTGTAACACTTATTTTCCTAACTAGAGGCCCAGTGCACAACAGTTGTGCAATAGGGAGAGGGGAGGTGGTCCCCCTCAACCTGGCCTCCCTTTAGCAGTCCGGGAGCCCTCGAGGGATGTCCAACTAATGGTTAAGCCATGAGTCGGATACCTTAGTGCTGCTACGGAGGCGGGAGAGGCTCCGCCGTTGTGCTCACCAGCCTTCAACCCAGGTTATATCTGAGCAGTGCTCCCCCTGTGGGGCGTGCACTGACCATCAGGGACCAGATCCTGCATTGAGCGTCTGCTCCCTTGTGTCAGTGCATGTCCTACCAACCAGTCATTCTGCCGTTCAATCAATTTGCATATTACCTTTTTATTACATAGGATAGTATTTTTCAGATACACTCAATTTTGAAAGTCAACTGGCACTGAACCAAACTCAAATTCAAGAGAACTTCAGTGATTAACAATCCTATATAATAAAGGAATATGCAAATTGACCATCACTCAGCCACAAGCATGGCAGCACCCACAGTGGGGGAAGGGGTGTTTCCGTAACACAAGATGGCTGCACCCACAGTGGAGGCCAAGTTCCTGTAATGAGCCTTAACAAGCAATCAGCAAGAACCTAAGACTGTGCGCCCCCCCTGCCCCTGTGGGACCTAACAGAAGACCTCAGACCCTCAGATTGCGCCTGCCACCTTGGCCCCAGGCTGGGGACCTCAGGCTGCGTCTCCCCCCCCCCACCCTCCCCAGCCCACCCTAGCACCAGGCCAGTGGGATTTAGGCCACATCCCGCCCAGCAGGGCTTGACAGGGGACCTCGGGCCATGCCCCCCACCTGAAGGGGCTTGCCGGGGAACTTCAAGGTGTGCCCTCCCCCGCCCCAGGGCTGGGACAGGGAACCTCAGGCCACATCCCCCCCACCCCGCAGGGCTTAACGGGAGATCCGAGGCTACACCCCCCCTACCAGCACTGAGCCAGGGGACTTGAGGCTATGCCCCCTGCCCAAAGGGGCTTGACAAGGGTGGGACCGGCTGGGTCTGAATCTAGCCCAATGGGGGGGGGGAGAGAGGAGGGGATGGTGAAGAGGGAGACCAGCCAGGTCTGGGTCTTGCGCGATTTTGAGGCATACATGGTTGGGCGGGGACTTGACTCTGTGTCCTGTGGTGTACCCAAACTCTGACAGGAAGATGAATTTCACATACATTTTACTAATTTTCTTTCATCTCTGACACTTCTATTATAGAGAAAGGGCAAATAGCAATATTAAAATATTTCCTCTAATTAATTCCCTTTTAATATGCAAGAATTTTATGCACTGGCCACTAGTTGCCAATAAAAGCAAATAAATGTCAACTGCAATTAAGAATTGCGCTAAATATTAGGAAGGGCTTTACAGACTGCCTGACTGATTTTCCTTTTTAAAAATTAAGACAAGCCGAAACCGGTTTGGCTCAATGGATAGAGCGTCGGCTTGGGGACTGAAGGGACCCGGGTTCGATTCCGGTCAAGGGCATGTACCTTGGTTGCGGGCATATCCCCAGTGGGGGGGGGTGCAAGAGGCAGCTGATCAATGACTCTCTCTCATCGATGTTTCTAGCTCTCTATCTCTCTCCCTTCCTCTCTGTACAAAAACAATAAAATATATTTAAAAAAAAAAAAAATTAAGACAAAATCCTGCCAAAACCAGTTTGGTTCAGTGAATAGAGCATCAGCCTGCAGACTGAAAGATCCTGGGTTTGATTCTGGTCAAGGACATGTACCTTGGTTGCGGGCACATCCCCTGTAGGTGGTGTGCAGAAGGCAGCTGATTGATGCTTCTCTCACATCGATGTTTCTAACTCTCTATCTCTCTCCCTTCCTCTCTGTAAAAAAATCTTTTTTTTTTAAATTAAGATAAAATCCATAACAAAAAATCCAACACTCTCACCATTTAAAAATGTACATGCCAGCAGTACCTTGTTAGTATATTCACAATGTTATTGCTAAGTGGTTTTAAAGTTTAAAAACTCATTTTCAGTATAAAACGTTTAACATGAATTCTTCCAAAATAAAAAGGTAGTTGAAGGCAAGTAAGTACATATGACATGCGGATTGAGTTTATATAAGTCTCAAAAAATACATTTTTTCAATTCCTCCCTCCTCCCAATTAACCATTAAAAGCAATAAACTGTACCAATGTATCTTAAGGAAGTGTTTGAACTATTCACTAACTCAATTAAAGTCACTGTCTTTGTAAAACTTTCATTTATCTCAAATATGCACAAGCAATCATTTACATTACTGTATAGTTACTTGTTTCTTGTACAACTTAAGATCTTGACCTTACTTGAAAATCCTTCAATAGAAGACTTTCACTTCAAATTAAAATGTTTACGATCACAAAGATCATCACTTCTGCTAATAACAATGAGAAAACACTAGATAAATTAAAAATCCAATTCTCTTTTAAAGCCACTGAAGACCTCTGGACACAAATAAGTCTAAATGAACTGAATTTCAGAGAGAAACCAGCCTTCTCGAGGTGATAGATTGCTAGTGCTTTCAACACTGAGTAGCATTTGCACTGCATGAAGCACAAGTGAACAGAGAAAAAGGCAACTATAGGCTAAGGATCTTTGTTGGGACACAGGGAACCCAGTCTCTTTTCATGCCTGAGGATGAGCACACTAGAATCTGGAGGACCCCCCAAAAGAATACTAGTCCTTATTCCCACCAATTATCCTCCAGGGGATTTCTGAAATATTAGCAGAAATGATGCAGCAAGGTTGGCCTGAAAACAGAGAATGTGTAGTCTCTTAGATTCCAAGCCCAATCCCATCCTAAACATCTCAAATGTGAGGTGAGCTAAAATTTAATTAAATGAATCACCTAAAAGAAAAATAGAGGGGGAGGGGGAGAGAAAAGTGTGTCAGAGACCTGTGGTCCCAACAAACTATCTGACAAATAAGGAATAAAATGGAAGTAAGGAAAAAGGAGGACCATTTGAAAAGAAAATGAATCAACATATTCCAAAAGTTAAAGACATTAATCCACATATTCAACACGTTTAGCAAACACCAAGGGGAACAAATACAAAGAAAGCCATATGTAGGCACACAAAGGTAAGGCTGCTGAAAATTAAAGGCCAAAAGAAAAACCTTATAAGCAGTGGAGGAAAAAATGACATTACACTGGAGGATCAACAATGAGAACAACAGACTGACTACTCATTGGAAATAATGAAGCCAGAAGACAGTAGAATGACACCAATCATAAAATACTGAAAGGGTCAACTTAATGTTCTGGATCTAGCAAAAGAAGTCTTTACACCTGAAGACATTTTTAGACAACTGAAAGAACTCAGACTGTACAAGAAATACTATTGCCTCAGAACAGAAACAAGACAAGGATGCTAGCTCTCACCACTTCTACTCAATTGTACAAGAGATTCTACAAAGCTAATCAGGCAAGAAAAATAAATAAAAGACATCCAGGTTAAAAAGAAAGTAAATTTCTGCATTTCCAGGATTATGTGACCTTTTGTGTAGACAATTCTTAAAAATCCACTAAAAAAATAACGGTATAAATTAGTTGGCCAAGATTGAAGAATCCAAGACCAATGCACACACATAAAAATTGATTTC